ACGTACTGCATAACTATATCGTTGATTTCATTATCAAAGCCGTACGTTATTAAGAAAACAATTTTGGCTTTAAAGTATATCAGTCTGGTGTTTATTTTCAATCTTTAATACATGTATGTCAATTGAGTTAAGTACAATACGTGCAGAGCATTTCGTTGAATAACCTTTCTGGAAATAAAACAAGTTAAATAACTTACGTGCTCTTTAAATAACCTTTCGGGTTAAATTTTCAATGCACATTTTTGAAGGTTATAAAAACATATAGTTTTATGCATATACTCGCGTTTGAAGTACATTATGTAGTCTCTTATCTATCTGGCTGGCAGTTAAACCAGAAAAATTACTTCATATACATGTATAAATCGTAATACTATAAAAATGATATACATTTGTACATTTACTATTGGATACCACTGAAAGAACATTTTCATTTAACCTCCAAATCTACCGTTTTCGTTTTGTCTATCTATTATATTGATAACTTACAAATAACAGTATATCTGTTAGATATATCAACAAATCTTTATATGATAACAAATTACACAAAATATAGTGCATTATGTACTCAATTGTATGATGGATATATTGCTAGTAACTATACTTCAACAGTAAAATGCAGAGGAACACAATTACAGGGACGTCTGAACAACTTTTAATATTTTGCTGCAAACTTTTCTGTCTATTTGTATGCCACAAATTAACTATTGACGAAGTGATTGGCAGTATCAGGGTCACATATATTTACCTATTTACGGTTGTAAACGTCATATATTTATGTAAGTAAAGTACAAAATGGTTCAAACTGAGGGCCGTCTAATGTAAATGACAGTAAATCAGTTAAGTTACATACAGCTTTGATGAATCAGTATTTTATGATGAAAGACACCATTATAAAGACACCATTATAAACACTTATAAACATCTGTGTTTAAAGGACAATTCAACTTTAATTGATGTCTATAAAAATGTAATGCATTTGGCACTAGCAAACAGTCAAATATTCTTCTTGGCAACAATATTTCTAACAAATTCATTCTTGTTATCATGTATCTATTTTGTTTCGTTTTTTATTTTTCTAACTACATTTGAACCCCTGTCAAAAAACTTTTGGTAACCTTTCAGTTTCATATGCACAATACTAAAAAGTGAAATGTCCTTTAAAAGGTATCCAAACGTTCTTCTTATTATTATTGTTTATACCTATATAAAATATAGAAGGTTGCTTAGCAAACACTTGCTGAAGTTAATTAATTGGTAAAACTCCTAGTTAGATAAACATGCATATATACAAACAATCACATACTCAGATTAAATGAACTTTCAAAGAAACTAGCGAATAGTACTACAAAAACGTTCTTTCAAGAATGAATCATTCGATGTATTTACATTTTGGTTTGGTGGGAGGGATTTAGTTTCCGAATATTAATAATGTCTTTCTGACAGTACCCATGATGTTATGATGTTGTGATATTTTCCAAAAGCAGAGATATTATAAGACTTGTCGAGAGGAAACAGGTTGACATAGCTGTTCGCAATTCTCATCAACTCCATAATGGAGAAGATTATATGTTGAAACAGATGTTGCCAAGACGTCTTTAATATCCCACAAAACAATGATAGAAGGCGTCATGTCGCGTTAAAATGTGTCGACATGCCGACACACGAGTTAACACGGATATGGCTTCTAGGGGGTCAATTCAAGCTTCCATAGTTATCACCTTAAGTGATGATTTAGTGATGATTTTAGTTTGTTTCTGATATACATTTTTGCTCACTGTACATGTTTTATGTATAAACAGTTATTATAAAGTTAGAAGTATTATCTAGATAGAGTTTTTATCTTGTAAACTATAGACATACATTTGGTTAGCCCTAGGCAAGTGACTGGATAAATATTTATTATTAAGTTGCATAGTATATCACGGGGGACTAATTACAAAAAAAAAACACACACACACAGTCATTTGTCACTAGTAATGGAAGTGACACAGGTGCTGGAATGTGCAATATTCAATTCATTATATCTAATTTGTATTATTTTTTACTCAATTATTCTCATCAAGTTGAAAATTATTTCAGAGAATTACAGAAAAAGATAAATATATTAATGAAGTAACACTTGTAAAACTCTATGGTCTCTTGTTCGATTCCATTTTGAAAGATATTGTCACATAAACATTTTTGATAACACATAATATATTTAATTACATGTATCTTAAAACTTCTTAAGGTTTCATGATGATTTTGTTCTATTTCCTTTTAACTATTTTAGTTTTTCTACTCTGTCAGTTCGTTTTTCTACTCTGTCAGTTCGTTGGAAACAAAATACAAATGATTTCCTGCGTTAGTTTATTATTCCTCTTTCTGTAAAGTAAAATGATTCGCCATATGACCTTGACAAAGCTGACCCTCGCACCCCCCCCCCCCCCAAAAAAAAAAACAAAAAAAAACAACAAAAAAAACAAAAAAAAAACAAAGCAACATAAAAGAAAAAAAAACGTTAAAAACAAAACGCCAAGAAAGCGTTGCTGCAGTATCAGTCATGTCCTATAGTCAGAAGGTGTCCGGATGGCGTCAATAAATCCAACATCATTCCTTCTCAAATAATTCATGCATATACTGTTAATTCCGCGCCAATTAGAACTAAACAAACAAATACGTTTTCCGAACCTCTAGATTTGTAAATGTTACTAATATTTTCCAGTAACCTCAATGTATAATAAAGAACCCACCCGTCCTATTGTGTTAATTACTTACAGCTTGACAACTCGGATGTTTTAAGGAAATTTACAGGTTATTGTACGAAAGGCCGATGGGGACATTTCAACCTCATGAATTCCCGATTTCATTTTCGTGAATTCACAATTCAACATCGTGACCTCACGTTTTCAAGATATGGAATTAATGATTTGAACTTTATGAATTCACAAGTTCAACTTCATGAATTCACGATCACACTATTTGAACTTCACGATTTCAGTTTTGTGAGTTCACGATTTCAACTTCATAAGTTCTAGACTTCAACGTCACGAATTCACGATTTCAACTTTATGAATTCAACTTTATAAATTCATGTTTTGAACCTCACGATTTCAACTTCACTAATTCACGATTTCAACTTCACGAATTCACGATTTCAGCTTCATTAATTCAACTTCAATAATTCATGTTTTGAACTTTATGATTTCAACTTCAAAAATTCGTGAAATTGAAATTTTTGAATTCATGAAGTTGAAAACTTGAATTCATGAATTCTGTATGTTGAAATCGTAATTTCGTAAAGTTGAAAATATGAACCCGATAAATGTACCCACCGGTATTTCGACGTCTGCTAGTTGAGAGGTGTTTCTTCAGAGCGGAATTCTACAGAAGAACGCTCAGCAAAAGTTACACTATAACTTTCCATAATTTTAATTTATAAGACCGTTAAAACATTTAGAAATTTTATTAAATCTTCGTTTTTTATTCTCCCGCCTTTTTCTTGTAGTCTGTTACGAAGTTATCGTCTGCTAAAAAATAGAAAAATATCGTCCGCTGAAAAAGTACTTTAATAAATACAGACGTAAATTATAATAATTGCACATTATCGGTATTTAGGCCAGACACTCACATTGATATTTCCATAGACTTACATTATAAGAAATGGTCCCTAATCCTACCTTAAAATTGAGTTTTCATGCTAATGAGGTGATTTTTCTAGCAGAATGAAATGCCTGACACATAAAAATGTTCCTGTTATATAGGGGTAGCCAACCAATTTTTTTGCAAAATGACTTCTCAGAGGATTACCCCCCATTTCATTGAATCACAGGACTGACATACACTTTTTATAAATGCAAATATCCAAGTCAAAATTATCACAGAGACTCATGAAATATTTCATTTTCTTCAGAAAACAATGTAGTGTGACATTTTTTAAATTAGTTTTTATACTTAAAAATACCCCACTTTCATCCAATCACCTCATGTATAAAATGAGTCATACGGTTTTCCCTGCACTTTTTGTCAGCCCATCGCTGGCCATGTTACAATGTGAAATCCTGACCTATAATCGGTGAAAAATTATTCGGCGGTCATATAATATGTGAACAGCTAATACAAAACATGCGAGATAACATAAATGACATATATACAATATTCCCACGAGAAAAGTTATTACAGAGTGTGTTTGATTCTTTTATTTCTCTCCCGAACAAGCACAAAGTAATTCTATGAATTAAGAAATAAGACAAATTAATATTCGCTATTAAAGCCATTTGTGATCCTTTTTTTTTCGACAAATAGTTCTAAAAGAAAAAAAAACAGTCGCTTTTGTTTAACTATTTCGTTTCATTTTTTCAACAATTTCTTATGGAGATAAAAAAGATATAAACAGTTTTGCTTGTTTAAAAACTCTAAAACAAAAGATAAAAATGGAAACAAAAGTCACAAGAATTGATCTAAAACAATCACTTTTAAAATTCAGTGTTTTTTTTCACAGATATTAATTCAAGTTATTGTTTATTATCATTAACTCAAAGAATATATAAAAAAATGCTAGCATATAAAGCATAACATAGAATTATTGACTTGTCATGATCTTCAAAGGCAAAATGTCTTATTATTATATAAATAGTCTGAGGTTATTATAAACAAGGTGTAAATGTGTGATGAAACTATTTTATTGCCACTTCAGACTTTCATTGAAGCAGGAGAATTAGACGCCAGTGAAGAAGATGACGTCAGACGTTGGACGGCTACTCGAACGCTGCCCCAAACAAGTTATTCAATTATATAGTCGTAATATTAGCGGTGTAACTTTTAACCATTTTAGTGAAGTAAATGTTATCTGGATCTAGAAATATACCATAAAAATTAGATTGCATTTATTGTTTACGATGCAAAATAAACATTGTTTCGTTTTAGCCTATCCTTGTATGGTACAGTATACAAAACATGTAATCTAGAATCTACAATTATTTTCTTTATCATAAATGTATGTACAGTATATTATATGATGAATAGAAGCAAAACATCATAAGTATTAAAACAAGAGCTGAAGGAAAATACAACATCAAGCAAGTATATCGCAGGGAACAATAACGCACATAAGCAGTTGTACCGAAACGGATAAGATTTTCTGTTAACACATTCAGTACAGTGATTTCGACGCATATACTACGCACATTGCGAATGGAAAAGATGCACCGTGTATACTCAGAATTCTTAGAGAAATTATGGCATGGCGGAGGAAAACTTTAGTTCTGTTTACATTTATATGTCTTATTGGTTTTTTGTTCATTCAGGGATATGTGAACTTCACAGTGAAATTACCAACCCATGGTAAGTAATTTAGTTTAATATGTATACTATTTTCGACGCGTTTTATTATAACGAATTTGCATTATTTCAACTTGAACATTTATTGTTGAAAATGTCAGTTTCGGCGAAAGCTTTTAATGAACCGCATTTCGTTTGTCTGCCTGTTACACTTGTTTTTATTTTACTTTGTTTTTGCTCTTCATGTAGACTATATATGCCAGGCTCCGAGATTAAATTAACTTAATTAATAGGCTAAATCATTAAATGTATTTTAAAGTAGTTTCGCAATTTTCTAAAGTTTCACTTGGGAAATGTGTTTTACATGTGGGGAAGAAACTACTTTGAAATAAACTCATTATGTCAAAACAAAAATAGCATGCTTAAGAATAGAGGTTTTAATTGAAACATATTTACGGGATGAAATTATTTTGAAAGGGGGAATTCTAAACAAAAATTTGAAGCAACAAAGCAAAGAAAACAACAAACAAACAAAACAGAAAAGTATTAGCACTAGAAAAAAACATGTATACATGAGTAATAGATAAATTGGGTCAACGTTCTGTTATCTTGATTTCGTGAATGATATGAAAACCGTAAATACACGTGCATGGCATTCTTGGCAGAACCTTTCATAATTTTACAATTTATGCCAGATACTTCGTCTGTGCGTATAAGTTTATTATAAGTTTATTAGAAAGTAAACAATACGACACATTGGGCGTAAATTATGAAACTATTGCATCAGTGTTGGGAAAAACAATGTTTTACTTGTTTAAATAGTTTGTCCACTCGAAACAGTCAAGTACAGGGTCCTCAAAGTTAATTAGGGCGATTAGTTACTTCAGGAAAATGCTGAATTATGTCTGATACTAAATAAGTAAGTCATTGTTATAAATAGTAAGTTATTGTTATCAGCAACTCGCCGTCATCTTAACGACCCTACAATTAATGACAAACGTCACAAAACGTGCACGAGATAGACTGCTTGTTTTTGTATAATCGACGTATTGTTTAAGGCCAATGAAATACACGAACTTTGTGTTGTATATTTTGTTTTTGCCCATGTTAAGTAATTTTATCCACGACCTTAACCGAATATGTACATGTATATTGAGTCGAAAAGTTTGAAGTTTATTATTTACATGTAAACATGTATAGATAACGAGTTTATATATGTACGTATACATGCACGTTTATTGAAATAAGACAATAATAAATTGAAGATTTTTATATGAATATTTCACAGTGTGCTATGTAAAATTAAAACTTTTTGTCAATTTACTTTACGGACCCATATATTGTCTAATCTTCATCAAAATGCATACTTCAGAATCCGGAATCGATCATTTTATAATTAAGTAACATAAGCAATGATTGACATTTTATTACTTTTGTTTGTCTGGCCGTATGGAATTATCATAGAGAAATGTGAACACTCTTGAGGCCTAATCATATTATGCAGAGTTGATTGGGTTAATACGGAAGCATAAATACACCACCAATTACATAAGACAATTATTATACATGAATACACAAAGAAAGGTATGGTAAAGAATTTCACGAAACTAGATGTATATCATTATCTTTTATAGTTTCCACATTTGTGTTTTAAGCGACACAAATGTCTATCATCAGGAAGTTAAACTATAATTATACGCTAAAATTACCACTCACTTTATTTTTTCCCGAAACTTACGAAACAACATACACATCTTAACAAAATTAAAGTGTTACATACAACAGTATTTCTGGTTATGATAATTAACAATAACATTAAGCTGAAATCCCCAATTATTAATGGGAAAATTTTCATAATTTTGCCAAATTATTCATAGTTAATGGTGGCATTTATATGCATCCGTAGTTTATTGGATGGACAGGAAATTAGGTTATTTCCAGGAAATAAATGTAGTCTGACAATTAACCGGCAGGAGTAATGTAAACGGAATTGATTTAAATCAGCATAAAGTCTATATTTATTTTCCACGTCCATATTCTTACAAATGAATGTCAATTAATACTTACTTTGCAAAACATATAGGAATCATTTGGTTCTCATACGTAAAAGTACTTATACTACTTGAAAGTACTAGAAAATCATCTTGACGGACATTTCCGGCTACTTATACACAGTTGAGATACTTCATTATTTCAGACAATAGACTTTTGATACTTCTCTGGTCGTGTGATGTAAATTTTCCCCTTTACTTTTTCCTTAATACAGTTATCCCGTTATAAAGATTTTTTGACAGGTTATATGGCCCTATATAAACGGTTGTTTACATATATAACCCGAGCCACCATATAACCTGTCAGGAATCTTTATATACAGCGAACTTACTATTTAGAGAAATGACTTCTTTATAAATTGACAGCAGTCGTGTTTATAAGTACACATAGAATTGTCCTATATACATGGTCATGTATAAACGGTTGTTTGTATATATATTGCAAACAACCGTTTATAATACGTAAATATAAACTATATAAACATCACGATTATCCAATGATAAGCGACGTTACAAACGTGCAGTATTATATTAAAAAAAAAAAAACAAAAACTTAGATACTAAAATTGAATAAATCATACGTTTGTTTTTGTATATATTTTTTTTTTGCGCTGCGTTTCATAAACTAATCAAACGTTTTTAAAAAAATCATTATCATATCTACTTTTGAAATCATTATGAAATGAAATAAGATGAATACTAATAACGTTATTAAAAATATGAATAAACAACCGATTGAACTAATGAAAAAAGAAAAGAAATGTTAATAATGTAACGTTTTGGCTACATGCTAATTACATAATATTCAGTATTTTAATGAATTTTGTCACAAAAAGTTTATTTATTACATTTTAATGCAGTTCAGCACTCTTAAATTGTGAAGGGTTTTATGACATTTTTAGTGTGACATCTTTTGTATTTTTGTAACACCTCGGGTTGTTAATGTCCATTACGTTGTGTAATGGTCGTCTACTGAATAACACTTTCATATATACATGAATATATATGTGGTATCATTTTACATACTTCTCTATATTTATGATGTTTCAGTTAATGAACCCAACAAGAAAATATGTTTAAAATTAATTATAGCCTTCCTGTTAGATCATGAACGATGTACCACCTGGTAACATTAAGGTTATTATTTAAGGTACAACACCTATCAGATAGTCTGCTTCATTTCGGTGCACTTTGATGACACTTAAGTTTAGTATTAACTTAATTTATATCTGAAACAACTAGACATTTGTTGTTGTTGTTGTTGCAAGTAATGCTGACGTTAAACACAAACTGTCCAGTTTTCCTTTTTTTTACTTATTTATTTATTTATTCATCATCATCATCATCATCATTAATTATTATTATTATTATTATTATTATTATCATTATTATTATTATTATTTATTTATTTATTTTAGACGATCATTATCATTTTAAGGGATATCAAGATTAAAGCTGGTCAGCCTACAATACAGAACACGGTTAAACAGGCTCGCTTAGTTCTATGCTGGCGACAAAGTCTGATCATTTTCAGTTCTAGCAGAGACATTTGCAAGCGTATATTCAATTTTCTACTTTATATCTTTTAACGATTGATAAATTTCACTTTATAAAAATTACATTGTTGCTGTAATTTCAATTTAATTAGGTATGACAAGATACTCAAAGTGACTACTTATTGTGAATTATTTAAATATCATTTTAATGATTAAACCTATGTAGGGTAGGTATGTACACTTAACGTCTAAACGTGCACCGTCTAAATTGAATGTACTTGGTGAATCCTTTTAAAACGGCATGCCTCTAGATGAGATGAAGTATTTCAGGAACCTACCTACTCTACCCAAACACGCATGGGTCGCGAGAGGGGGAAACAAAAATCATTTTAAGGCTTGCCTCAATCAACAATATTTTATTTTCATGATATACAATCTGGAGCCGTGCTTCTTTATAATCAATACCATCGCAAAAGATGCTTTCGATATAAAAGGCGTGTCTTGATGATAATTCTGAAAACAATTTCATAAAATATATTGCAGGACGTCCGACTCTATAGTATTCCCGTATGAAGAATGATAACCACTGTATGATCATGAAAATAATGATGTACATAATGATTACGTATATGATAATGATTTAGATGTTGAATTTACATCGATTGAGATAAAAAATGCAATATTTTCGCAAAACAATTCTAAATGCCCAGGTACTGACCATCTGATTGCAGAAGTATTTAAAAATTCAATTGATATAATTTGTCCATTTCTCACACGATTTTATAATAAAATATTTAATGATGGCGTATTTCCTGAATGCTGGGGAGAAGGTATTATAGTACCAATTTTTAAAGGTGGGGCTCATGAAGCAAAAAACTTTCGCGGAATTACCCTAAATAATATTTTGTCCAAAATATACTCAAAATTATTAGTTGATAGACTTATTAAATGGGCTGATAAACATGAAAAATTTATTGATAATCAATATGGTTTTCAAAGGAATAAGTCAACTATTGACTGTATTTTTGTTCTACATGCTATAATAACAAAGACTTTGTCGAATAAGAAGAAACTCTATGTAGCATTTCTAGATTGGGAGAAAATGTTTGACCGTATTGATAGGGTTTTATTATGGAGAAAGTTACTGAATGAAAATATAAGTACAAAATTTGTTACTGCAATCAAGTCAATGTATGGTATTGTTAAATCTTTTGTAAAATATAAAAACATGCATTCTGATCTAATTAATTCTAAGATTGGAGTGAAACAGGGAGATCCAGCAAGTAGCATATTGTGTTTATTTTTTCTCAATGATATATTAAATAATATAAATAGGAACATTCCTGGTATTGTTAACATTGATGATATACAGGTATTTTTGTTGTTATTTGCAGACGACGCTGTAGTTTTCACACATGATCCAAATTCATTACAATCTATCTTGAATGATATAGAACATTATTGCAATATGTGGAATCTGAAATTAAATGTGTCTAAAACAAAAGTAATGATTTTTGAAAATGGTAGACATACATCTTATGATTTCTTTTTGTATAACACTAGAATTGAAATTGTAGAATCTTTTAAATATTTAGGTGTGTATCTTTTTAAAAATGGAAACTGGAACAGAACTCAAAAATATATTGCGCAACATGCGTCATATTCACTACATAATTTATTTATTGTATGTAACCAGTTGGAACTTCCAGTTTCCCAAATGATAAGTTTATTTGATAGTATTGTTTTACCAACATTAAATTATGCTGCAGAAGTGTGGGGGCATCATGCTGGTCCGAACATAGAAATTATACATACAAAGTTTTGTAGAAGATTGTTATGTGTGAAACAATCAACCAATGTAGATGTGTTATATGGTGAACTTGGTCGTACACCAATGTCCATTCATAGAAAACTAATATTGATCAAATACTGGTTAAAACTTCTTAAACTTAACGAAAGAACTATATTGTATAAAATTTTTATTATGTTAAAAACAGATGCCGACAATGGTGTAACTTATAGTGGTAAAAACTGGGCATATACTGTTAAGACTATTTTAGAGCAGACTGGCTTGTTTTATATGTGGGAAAATCAGTTTACTATAGATATCGATTTTAGTATTATTAAACAACGAATTTTAGACATATTCTATCAAAGTTGGTATTCCTCAATTAATAACTCGTCTAGATTAGATACATATTGTTTATTTAAACATTCATTCGAATTTGAAAACTATTTGGATTTTATCGTTGAACCGAAATTTAGGGTAGCTTTATCCAAATTTCGTTCATCTTCTCATAATTTGGCTATTGAACGTGGACGGCATAGAAATATACAAAGAAATGAAAGATTGTGTTGTAATTGTAATGCCGGTCTTATAGAAAATGAGTATCATTTTGTATTAATATGTTCTAAATTCCAGGACTTAAGATCAAAATATTTAAAGAGATATTATTATACGTGGCCAACTAAACAGAAATTTGTTAATCTCATATGTGCAAAATCAAAAGAAATAATTAATAATTTAGCAAAATATATATACTATGCAAACTTGCGAAATAACTAGTCATCTTTAATGCAGATACATATATTATATTATTGTGCTCCTCTGTAAACCATGTCTTTGTATAAAAAAATTGTATTGCTATGGAACATGTTGTTTTAATGCAATAAAATATTTGTAGTTGTAGTAGTTGTAGATAACCGAGTTGTGTTGTGAATATCTATAAAAGATTGAACTATTGTGAACTATTTGAGCATAAATTGTGCACCAGTATAGATTCTGACATATAGTAAAATATCAAAGTGTCCCTGTACAAATGTCAAACGCTGTGAAAACATTATATCAACCGATTATATACATTAGCTGCTCTCTTAAATTTACACCCAACTTAATATTGCCACATACATTGTAATTGAAAAAAATAACAAGGGAATATTACAATACACTTTTATCTATGCTTTAGATATTAGATCTACATCATATAAAAAGTTCATAAATTTATATGAACATACATGCACAAAAATTCATTGTTGAACACCAGTGATATAATACACGAAAATATAAAGATAAAACACTTGTTATCAACTCAGTTTAAACTGAAATAAAAATAGTAAAATATAAACAAAAGAAAAAAAAAGAAAAAAAATCATAACAAACAAACAAACAAAAAACGCAAAAACAAAAAAAATGACACGGAATGAACAATCCCACATATCGTGACAGCATGAAAGCCCAACAGCGGGTGGGCTGTTCTATAATGCCTCCCTAATTGCGGACATACAACGCAATAATAAAGAAAAAATCGGATGATGCATTATTTCACTCACACTTTTAACGGTAATCTTCTGAAAGTTTAAACTTATGAAAGCAATGAAAAAATGAACATCTCTTTTGATGCGTACAACAAATTGTAATTATTTCATGTAAATGTATGACATGACAACTGCATTAGTTGTCGACATGTTATCAGCCCCGGGTGACACACTCCTTTATATGCTTAATAAACTTATATAAAATTATGGCAAGTTCAAACAGCAACTCAAGTGTCGTTCATAAAATGTTATTAATGTATATTATAAATTTACATTTTGGCTTTTTTATGACAATGTGTGTATATTTTGTTCGTACACAATTCATGGGGGTGACCGCATCATTGTACCATGGTTGCTTTTTAAAGCGGAATTTCTACCAGTAAATGAATTTGATAACGAAAACAGAATTTATATAAAATTTGACTGACGTATATACTTTTAAGTAAAATATAGGATATTAATCGATTATTCCAAAATTGTCTTATTATTTTTCATCAATTAACTGCTTGTTATTTTCAAATGTATTTTATCCATTCAACATTTCCTCTTGTTTCGTTTACAAAGACCGTAAGGAATGAAATTTATATGTGTTTTATTTTATTGCAGACCATCGTCTCTCATGGATGCCCAATACGACTTCCGGTACTGTAAGGTTAAGTATCGTTACTTCCGGTGTGGTGCAAGAGGTAAAAAATAATCCACAAAGAGGATCTTATAAAATTATTAAATCCAAACCACAGCAAAACGGAAGTGAATTTGATATCGGGAGAAAAAATTATCAATTGAACGACTCTGTTAATCTCGATGTGTTGAGATCAAACAGTGGGGCAGTATTTCATGTTGATAGACTGACTGACAAAACATCCTTAAGCAACCATCATCATGAACCCATTGATGGAACGGCATACTCTGACGTCACAGCTGCAAACGAGCATGCGCATAGAATTCAAACTCTTAAAGCCACATGTGAGGAAGCGACAATGTATAGACGGCATGAACAGCGCAAGGCTAACCTGAGTGATTTCTACTATTTACGAGAACATAAATTTGCGTACTGTAAAGTACCAAAGTCCGGTAGTACTTTCTGGATGAATGTTTTCATGGTAAGTTTTCAACAGCGATATTTTATATAGCTTAGATACTCGTCACATTTACCAAACGCTGTCCATCTCACCTTTACCTAGATGGCAAATGCAAATTCAGTTTTGATCTTGAAAGAAAATCTTCAATATGTTGCATATAATCAAATAGTTTTTGTATGGAGCGTGACATCATAGTCATGACTTTTAAGAGTACCATTATATAATGCCACAAGCAAACTGCATTTGTTCCAATGATTATAGTTTAGGTGAAGAGATTTAAGATATTGTATGTATAAACAATATTTACTGCAAATCAATATTTTGTAACACGCCAGTATTAAAGTATTGTTACACGTTAACATATTTTCGTAATGTAGAATGGAAAGAGGGCTTGGCTTGGGCATACGAATAGTTAGGATTTCTGATTCGGTCTGAAAACTATTATACCATTTGGTGCTTAGCAGAAAACTAGGATTGGAATTAATTACATGTAATTAAAAATGACTGCACTTTTTAATATAATTAACATATGCATTGATTTTATTGATCGTTAAAAGTACACTTCTCTAATTTTCTTCAGATTCTCAGCAAGGGGGAGAACTTCTCAAAGACTTTAAATCGCATGTCAAGGTCAGAAATACACGAACGCACACGAAACTTCATTGTTGATCCAGGAAGAATTTTGCGCAACGGAATTCGTACAATCATAACTTCGAGAAATCCATTTAGTAGATTATTTTCTGCTTATATTGACAAAGTTTTTGTTCCTTTGTTTTGGAAACATTTTACAGACATGGAAAACGTCATTTTACTACCCCCGTACAATGTAACCAGCACAATAGATGTTTTAAGGTCTTCAAACAGGCCTTTAAGTAGTCGGCTGGCAAAATATAGACTCAGTTTGCGAGAAAAGGGAATGTTGTTTAAGAAAAATATAACCCAAAGAATCGTACCAATATGTGCTAATGGTGCAAGTTTTGAAGACTTTTTGAGGTTCATAATCTCTGAAGTAAATTCTGCTCGAGCTTTAGAGCCTCACTGGGCCCCTATTTCTCACTTGTGTCATCCTTGTAGATTCAACATCTTTAAAGTTATAAAACAAGAATCATTTTCAAGAGATGTTGAGCATACATTAAATAGTGTCGGAGTAAATATTTTACGTTTTAATTGGTTGAAAAAATCATTAAATGAAAATAGGGCAACAAGTTCAGTGCCAGGAATTATTGCTGTGGTGAGAGATAAGTTTAGACAGCGATCTGTTAGAAACTGCATAAATCAAACAGAAATCCTTCGACGTTTATGGAAATCGTTTCAAATTCAGGGATTTATTAGCAAAGAAATTGACTTTCCTAACCAATTAAGACATGTTGATTGGAACAATTACAGCCAAAAAGTTACCGATGTAGTATTAAACTCCATTTTGCAAAAACCGATGACGTCAGCAGAACGGCTAGAGCAACGTGATTTCTATTTGAGAGAGGCGTTTAGGGAAATATCACCTGACGTCATAGCAAAAATTCAGGATATTTATTATCTAGACTTTTTACTTTTTGGTTATCAATTAGATCCGCCAAAATAAACTAAAGATTGTCAAAGTTTCATTGAAATGGTAATCACCATGTCTGTATAATTCATATTGAATTTTATTTTTGGTGCTTACTGCACCGGTTACGCGATGTAACGCTAAGGTACTGTATAAAAACGCTTCAACTTTTGTAATGCCACTACAGCATTATGTTTTAAAGGCACATTATGCCTCAGAAATGAAAAAGAAATGTTTATTTTTTTTTGAAAAAGGAAAATTGAGTTTTATAACGATAAATAACGTAAACGAGCTTGTAAGATGCTTGTTACCTGAAAAAGTAGCGTCAGTTGTAAAATTAATTATCCCAAAAGTAGCAAAATGTAAACAAAATAGTATTTTGTCTGCCATACAAAATCACTATAGCTGATCTAATTGCAGAAAAGCAACAGATGAAAAAGATGTTGAGTTTATTGTTCAATGAGTAACATTTTGGAAACTCTAAAAGTACGCCACAAGTAAAAACCTTTTCAAAAATAGAAAAAAATGTATTTCTGGGCAAAATTGGGGCATTTTAAGCATACTACTACATGCTAACTACCGGTCATATTTTGGTCCACTTATTTCGGACCGTAATTCATTGAGTCTATATATTGTTGATGGAAGGAGATTATTATCCGGGTATCTAGCAAAATGACTACAACCTTTATAAAATTCCCTCACTATTAACGTAAGGGTTAGCAGTATTAACTTATCAAGTATTAAATTGTTTAAGACTACTGTTTATTTGTATTGTTTGTTTATGTATCTAAACAACTTAATTTATTTATTTCCAATTCTTTTTCCGTTTTCTTTTCTTCTTTCTTTTTATAATGAAGAGTGTATAGCCCTTTGAATTGTTTTTGAACGCCATGATGAAAATAAATCTAGTATTTTGTATTTTTGAATTGATTTTAGTTTTACCGAAACGTTTATGATCACATTCAGCATGTGCTCTTTTGTAGACATTTCATGCCCTGAATACAATTTGCACCTTTGGTAGTTTTTGCAGATCGTGATATTGCATGTGAAGGAGTAAGTGTACAGGATAAACACGATTGAATTAATTATTTGTATCTAATTAACATTTGATATTTATTTTCATTGCAAGTTCTCATTTTGTTGCTCAGTAATTAATATAGATATTAAGTGTTTCAAGTTGTCATCGGAAAGTATGTTCGATTGCAAATCATAGCTTCTATAGAAACTTCAGCTACATGTACGTTTATTTGGACAGTAGAAAAAAGGATTGAAATATTAATAACTTCACAACTTTCACAAAGTTTATCAACCTCCAACGTTTTAAGGGATTCAATCCCTCTTTATCAATGAGTAAGCTGTTTATTTTATAAATCACATATTTATCCTCTATTTTTTTCTACACAATGTTATGTACAAATCCATACAAATATCAATAAAATAAACAGCAAACTGCGTGATAAAGAGCGGATGTTGGATGTTAATAAACTTTATGAAATAGGTAGTAATTTATTAATTGTTTCTAGGGTGATTTCTGAAATATTTATTGTTATATATTCAGAGAACAAGAAACACACAACAGTATTTGTGTGCTATTATTTTGACTATAATCCGGCGAAATGTTATCGCAGTCCTGTGAAAATGATAATAACTATTAACAAGCAATTTGCATATTAATTTCTCATTAATAATATTGTTATTTGTATTAAATAACTAGACACTTATCTCAGGTTTCTGCAACCTGATTTGGTAGACGTTGCGTTAAGTAATTCTGTTAACAAATCAATGCAGATAGTAGGCTTCGAATTCGATCTTCTGTTTTCACGAGGTCAGCTTATATCACTATTACTGTTCTTTATTAAGTGTGTGCTAACTTCGACGTGTTAGAGTAAACAGCTATAACTTTCTTTACATCTAAATGATTCTCACTCCAAGCTATCCAAAATGTTTCTTATTTCGCCCCAGTCTACATTTAGAGTAGGACATTTCTGCATTGATTCAACTAAAACATCAAACGTAGCTATTTCAACGTTCTGACTCCATTTTGTAAGCATAGCAAATATTTTCATTGACGTACTATGTGGATTATCTTCAATAATCTGTTCGATTTGAACCTTGGTCACACCCAGTTCATGTCCTAATGTTTGCCAATTGTGGCCTATTTCTTTTGAGATTTGACTAAGCAGTTTTTCTGTAACTCCCTTTTTCGGAATCTGAATCTTTATTCTGTGGTCAATATACCACTCAGTAAATCCATCCGCTGTAATACTAGCATGTGATTCAAAATCTGGACAAGGAATTTGTTTAGTTGTTCCAACTTGCTTCCATTCGATTGTGTCTTTACTCCCGTTCACACCGTGAATTTCATGATTACAACGAAATTTTATGGCATACAGTTTAACACAAGTTTCTTTTGAACATTTAAGCTTGTGAAATTCATGCTCAATCACAGCTTCAACAAATCTGCGTAGCCTATCACAACGACCACCGTCAATTGCATCTTTTGAACAAAGATTTGCTACTGACAATTCGATTGTTTCTGATCTCATTTCTGCGAATCCAATATGGTTATTTTCAAGCCTTGCTGCACATAGATTTTTGTACATGACCGGCTTATCTCGAAAATGAATAATCGGCCATTTGCCAACAATGGCGGCGACAAGTCGATGGTAGATTGTAGGAATTATGGTAGAGATTTCAAATTCCATTACAAACCGTAGTGCTGACTGCCTCCTTCCACACAAAAGCTGCTCAAACTCATCACTGGGATATAGATCTCTCAGTAAACTCGGGACAACAAACCACCCAAGACCCGATGATTTTTTTGTATCTTCTTCATATTTGGTAGCCTCAGAGATAATATGGTGCTTCGCAAGAAAGTCCAATAATATTTCCCTGTTTTCCATATACATTAATTCTTTATCTTTGCTCCAAAGTTTATCGACAAGTTCTTTTTCTAGTCTTCCCTCGTCATGAAGTTTGTTGAATGATGGCCGAATGTCGGGATCTTTCTTGCAAAATTGCTCACTAGTTATAAGGCATTTAAAGGCATCAATCAAATATTGGGGATCTAGTACAACGTAATAAGATATCGGATCCTCGTCAAAATAGATGAAAGTTCCTTTACTGTGGTGGTACTGGAGAAATATTCGTACTTGATCATTTGAACCCAGCGGATACTCATTCAAAGCATCAATTGTCCTGACATCTTGGAACGTTATTATTTTTAAATGTATTTTTTCTTTCAATGATTTTTCCAGATGTATCCATTTTGCTGGAATTTCAACAGTTTTGGCCTTTTCTCTCCCAATTTCAATGACGGCTTCACGCAACGCTGTAACACCTTCATCATCTGTGACAGTATTATCCACTGCAAAATCTTTTCTATAAATGTGTTTTAAGAGTTTTGTACCATCAAAAAGTTTTCGAATATTTTCAAAGAACGTTTCTATTTTCTGATCGACATTTCCTCTCAGTTTATCCTTATGTGTACCAACGAGTATGACGGTAGGCTCCACTCCATCTTCTGATCCGACGAAAGAGTGGATGGAATTAATCCAGAATCGTACGTAATATGCCATACTTCTTTCATGTGATTCCGTAGGGAAATCTTGGTCCACAGCTATTTCGTTTAAATGAGATGTTAAGTCTAACACCAAGAGATAGATAGCTTTTCTACTATGGAAGATCATATGCGTTGCATAAAAAACGAACTGTCCACCAAAGTCCCAAAATTCTACCGAAATGTCCATATTATCGTCTCCCTCTTTTGAATTTTCTCTACTTAGTTCTTGTGCAAATTGAATTTTATCTACGTCAGATAGAATGGAACGTCTTCCTAATGAGTCGTCATTTGACCCTTCAGAACAAATTTCATCGGACATTTTGTAACTTGCATCAATAGCATCGGGTAATTCCTTTGACTCTGGTTCTGAACTTTTCAGCGTTTTTTCTGAATCTTTCTGTATGTTATGTTCTCCAATTAAACCAACTATCATTTCTGTATCTTGCAGATCTTCTTTTATTTCATCGTCATTATTCTTCTCCGTCGATTCAAATAACGACGCTTTATCCTTCAAGTACTGAGCAACAGACGCCAGTCTCTTTATAATGCTTGAGCAGTCCATGTCATCGTTTTTGCTATATGAAAGTTTACCTTCAGGTGTTCGTTGACAAGTGAAATGTTCAACATCAATTGCATTCGTACTTTTGACGTTATTTATGTCCTTGTTGAGAATCCTCCTCATCAGAGTGGTCTTTCCTTGGCCATAATTTCCAACAATGTTAACACGGATAGACCTATCAAGCTCTTTCCCTTCTGTTAACGCCAATCTATACAGTTGTAGTGTAAATGGATCTTTCATCAGTTCTTCTGGAACTAAAAATGTTTATAAACATTACAGAATGTGATACAATACGAACAAATTGTTTTTAGTAAAGAAATTGTCTGCAAACAGTGTAATATACGCAAATACACATGTTTTGTTTCGTTTTGTTTTGTTTTATTGCGCACCAACACAGTTTAGGTCATATGGCGTCGAGCAGGGGTGATTTTGTTAAAGCAACACCATAGCTCATCAGAGATCACCTCACCTGCTAGAGGTAACAGATGCATAGATTCCATTAATTCGGACCCATTTAGTCGTTAAGAGGCAACCCCTCAGTCACAGAGGGGAAATATTCATGTTTTTCATTTTTTGAATTAAAAGAAAATTTAGCATTCGAGATATTCAGTCAAATCTACTAAGTATTCAAATATACAGCGATCAAAATTGTGAGATACATGAATAATCAACATGTTTAAAGATTTTTTTTTTTTTTGTAAGTTACCTGTATCTGAGACTGTGGAGCTGCTCTTTTTTAAGGGCTGAAAGAGGAAATAATCTGTACTTAATCCATTATTTAAACATTGTTAAGTCATTTGTATTAAATGGCAATAATAATGAATTAAAAATTGTGTGATCACTGCTATATGAATGTGTCTGCGGGTGACCTTTAAAATCAAAATTTACTATTTATGATACAAAAGATGTACAACACGAAGATTTTAGCTTACATTGAACCACAGCCGTCCATGAACATTGTCTGTGACACTGATTCTGCAACGTTTTTTTTGCAGTATTGAACAACCTTCAATATAATGTCATTTTTCTATGTCTTGAAATATTCATGGAAAAAAGTGTTGAAAAGAAAGTTTATATTAAATATTACTAAGTCTTACCGGATACATCCATGCAATAATATCCTTTGCTTTTTTGAGTGACCATACCTTGCTCCTTTCATAGCCCTATAATGATTTTGTTATTCTTAAAGGCACACTATTCCATAGAAATCAATATATTTCTAATGAATATGAAATCTCAAAAATGTGTTTTATAATGTTTAAATAGGGGATTAAGTGCATGTTAGATGTTTCACAACTGAAAAAGTAGCGTTGAACATGCAGTAATGTTTCGTAAAGGTACCAGAATGTATACTGTTAATATATACTTTTTTAAACGCAATTGTGTTTAACAATATATTTTAACTGACATCTACTAACAAAAAACGTAAAAATTGGCATGTTTTATGGAACGTTCTTACAAATATGTATCTCTAATATCGATAAGTTAATGCAGATTATATCCAATTCTTAATATATATTTAAAACAGTTTCATAGGAAGCTACCGGTAAAGTAAATGAATATGAATACAGACAAGGAGTAAAAAATTAGGTCACTTACTGGACTTAGCCAACCTAACCAAGACTTTTCTTTTTCTTTCTTTTTGCTCTGCAAAAAATATCCCAAATATAAAAAATCTATGCTTTTATATATCACTGAATACTTCGCCGATCATGACTGCGATGCATATTTCGGAATTTCGGTAACATTATGTTTGGCTTTTTAGTTTTCTTATTCTTTGTCGGTAGTCTGTAGTGTCTGACATAGGCAGTTACACAGGACAAATGCAAATTCAATAATAAAAAAAATCTCAGCTGACTCGTTTATTAAACAGAGTAATTGATAGATCATAAAAAAGTAGCGAATTGAGCTTGCAGGTAATGTAAACGCTTGATTTTGTACATTGCATATTTTAATACGTCCAGCAACAAAATAGTAATTATGGTTTATATATTAGTATTTCCAAAAATGGTTGGAATCGCCGTTTAGCAATGAATATAGAAATAATATTTCATTTCTTGCCAAATGCCTTTATTGTGTGTTGTCGACACATAAAGTCAACAAAAATACTTGATTTACTCTAACATCCCGTTCTAGACGTGCTCAGTTATATTCTGTGATATTTGTTTTTGTTCTTGGTCAGAATGTAGGAGAAATTGCCCAAAAGAAAAATATCACAATTACTAAACGCGTAGTACAGTTAGATAGACTACATGCGCTACTTAATAAGCTTCTTGCGTAATTAACAACAGTCACTTGCTACACATTAAAATGATGTCTGTGAACATTCTTTAAAATGGAATTTATGTTCTGTGCTCCGTCCACTGCTTTGCGATTTTTTTCTGAAACGGACTATAACTGACCAGCTACATTATAGGTCTGATGAAATAAAAACACTCGGTGTATTAAACTCGCCCGGGAAAAAGCATTAATGAAGTTGTTTTTTTTTCTATAAGTGATATAAGTTCTTATACTGAAATGATTACGAAGCATATTTGATGTTTTGCCAGGTATGTGTTTATTTATATGTTAAGTGTCCGAGGTATCTGCTTAGCAATAGATATTGTTAACATTATACTTCCTGAAAGTCTTGTCTAATATTTTACTCTCTGACAATTTTTTAATAAATTATTTTATATTCAATGCAAAACATATCAAGATGTCTTTTTTTTACATGAATCCAATCTTGCCACTTTATACATACTAATCAAATAATGGATACCGATTTATTGCTTGATAATATATTCTGTTTTAACTAAGAACATATACAGATAAAAACAAGAGAGAACAAAAATGTGTTTATCTAGTAAAATGTTGTTTTTTTTTACCAAGAAGATGCTTGTTAACAAGTTTAAAACCTGAATATCGTAGTTTATATTTAGGTAATAATTTTGAAAAAAAGGAATCTCCTTGACAGCAATGAAAGAGTCTCTGCATACTTTGAGATAGTGTTGTTCTCTTTTGAGATTGTGTTCAGAACACATAATGAATTGTAAAACCCCATTATATGTCCCATACACTGGCTTTAGAGAGATATCTCCAATTCTTAATTCATAGTTTTTTTATTGTAAAAGTGGACCCAGAAAAGGTATAGCAACAATAAGTGTTAAAAACTTACCATATTCTGTTCGATCTTCCTCACTATAATATCAAACGCTTCATTTATACCAGTTGATGCCATTTCGTTCACTTCAATAAAGTCAGCCCCATTCTCGGCTGCAAACTGAAAATATCATATTGCAATCATTTGAATTTATTCTATGAAAGTTGGGTATCTATTATTAGGCTAGAGTCTTTAACTTTGACGTAAATGAAGAGGCATGTATTGGTAGAAGTAAATGAAGGATACTGAATCATTTATATAATCTCTGTTCATAAAAAAAACATATAGATTCAACAAAATAATACATAAAAAAGAGAGAGACAGAAATTAATTAGAAATCTAAGACAATGAGAATTTTTCATATTTCTTTTGAACAATGAACAATTCCACATATAAAGTTATCATAAAAAAACCTTTTCTGCTTTTTCTTTGCTAACTTCTCTAGATTTTCCATCCAACTTGTTTCCAACTATCAGAAAACTTGGATCCCTATCTTGCGCTATCTAGGAAATAAATAAATAAAAACTTCTTATATTCAATGACATAAAGCATTGTACATGTATGTTGAAGTAGTACACACTCATATGCTTGTACAATACATTCATTTATCATTACGCTGTGACATATCTGTGCTTGTTTTCAACTAACCTTTTACTATATCTTACTTTGCAGATTCATTGTACATTTGAGTAAATTAAAGCTGTATCAATAGATCAATAGAATGGGAGAAAATCTGTAATATTCTTTCTTACATGATAAAGAGCTGGACAAGATAAAACGCATGTGATGACATCTGTTCTTTTAAAAAAATATTGGAAAGTTTACTGGAGTTGAAAGTATTGCTCTTGTTTAGGCATCAAAAGTAAAAACAAATACAGTAACGATTGTCACTTAAACCCCAAATTTTATTTCATGATTGTGTTAGTTTTCCAATTATCATGAGGCTTAAAAGTAAAAATTCTTGGCAAGTAATGAAATAATTTGAAAAGATATACTTCTTTTAAATATTTGATCTTGGAATCCAATTCTTTGAAAGTTTCCTCATTTGTAAAGTCATACACAAGAATAAACCCCTGAAACAGTAGAAATAAATAATGATATAAATATTCCAGAAGAACTTTTGTCATTGTCCGACTTTCATCCTATTGCTGTGGGCTAGAAATCCGCCAGAGACTTTTTAATCTTTCATGTGAAAGCTTTCAATGCAGTTAGCTTACGAAACGTCGTTGTTTAACTGAAGTGCCCATTCGTGCCTAAAATAAAGAAACGGACGTGTACCTGAGGTCTTTCTCACCAAATGACATTACAAGATTTTGCGATGTAAATCCAACAGACATGGGGTCCTTTTCACCTGGAAAATTATAAAGTGTAATCAATGACTTCTACGTAGATTAGGGGCTGATATATTTATATATATATATAGAATGTTTTAAGTTCTCATTACTGTAACAGAAGAATCAAAACATGAAAATTTAATACTTTACCGTGGCTTGTTTGCAATATAAGTCGATAATATCTCGTTCATAGCCTTTGTCGCCCGTGTCCCTTTAAAGAAATCAGTTCAAAATCAATTTAAAAGGCACGTTATTGACAGGTTTTAGAATTTTGCGTTTCCTCACACTATAAAAATAAAAGAACTTTAAAGATACCTAACAATGCGTTATATGCGAAGCTAGATGTTTATGTATTGAATGAATTCAATCTATGGTTATGTGAATTCAACATTTTGTTTTCTAAAATTACAATTTAAGCGCTGGTGAAAATCGTTTTGTAGAAACATAATTCAAAACTAGTATTAGGTAATGTCAGATTGTTTCATGGTCTTTTAATCTAAATAAATTATCAAGAAACAAATGATCATATTTCACATGACGTTTCTCATTTTCGAACTTGTTGTGCCTGAACTAATGCACGGAATGGTTCCTGAAGTCTTCCTCCGCCAGTAAAGCTGGAACATCGCCATATGACCTATACTATGTCGGTGTGACGTAAAACCCAATCAAACAAACAAACAATTGTCCCACTTGTAAAAAAGTAAAGATATATATTCGGATATCCAGTAAAATATATCATCTTAAATTATAACTTTGATGAACATTTTACCCAAACCATTAACAAATGTATTAACATTTACAAACTTTCAACGCTAATTATTTGTATAAATTGGAATTGGAAAATTTTGTAACTCAAATAATTGTTCTTTCGGGGGTCCCCTATGCCACTTAAATAAAATTGAATGAAAGTGTCGCATTGAGATAAAAAATACGTATTTCTTATTGATAAGGCGTTAGAAAATAGCACACATAATCTCCCTTAACTTCAACAACTTACCAAAGATATAGTTGCATCTTTTCTCCCGCTTCTTCTGTGTGTTTTATAGCAAAATTGATTGCTGAAAGGAAAGCCAATATAAGACAATTTCTTAAGCTGTATTCCGACGAAGTCTACATGGGCGTAACTTGCTAACTTGCTAAATTTGAAAAGGACTGAGAAATTCCTCTTAGAGATAACAAATATAGGACTTGTTACTCGCTTCAGACTGGTATAATTTATTCATAAATATGTAATTATACACACTTCTAAATGATGACATACTTGTACTAAATAGAATGATTATCACAATTAAAATGAACATGTTAGGTCATATTAAGCTAGCAGATTCTTTTTAGAACTATTGTACATTGTGTGTCCCAATGCATTCCCTCAGAATACCATTTCACATTTTAGAAAGCATTCGATAGAACGTGTGTTAATCATAACATTTAGTTTTTTGCTTATAAAAATCAGCAAAATTATGCAATACAAGTTTTCTTATCATAACAACCTACTTGTTTACTTATTAAACTCCTTCATTTATTTCAGCTCAGCTCTTGGAGCTTATCTGACCATTCTGTATTGGTATCATAGGAGGAAATATATTCATAACCATGGAAGGGATCGAGCCAACGATCCACTGATTGAGAGACATACTCCTTAAACACAAGGTCAGTATAATCCCTTCTTTTTGGGGATGAGCCTTTTCAATATTAGATCTATATAATGGTATCATTTTATTACATCAGAATGATGTAAAATGTGAACTATTTTACATTAATGATTATTTAATAAGTGTTAATGTCATAATCAAAGAAATAGTTGACCTAGCTACATGTTATATTTTTTATATAGGCTTACTACACTATGTTATTCACGTAAATAACAATTGATATGAGACGGTAGTGAATATTTCTACTTTTGTCTTTAAATAAAACCAATTTCAAAATTCGCTTTTGTAAGTTCACGTTAGGAATGTAAAGTTGCGATCTTTGCAAACGACTTCTGCATCACGATGAAAATCACCAAAGAAGATAGATCTGAGCATAATATCAAAATTACATAAATTTCCGTCTATCTTGAAGTAGTTGTGTAAATAATTCGTGTATGTCAGACATGATTATCTACCCCATACACCGGTGCTAGGAAACTCTGTCGCGTGCTTTAAATGACGTCATTGAAGCGCGCCTTTTTATGAATGAATCGTGTTCTTAGGATGACGTCATTTTTCCGTTATGAATGAAGCTGTATGTTCATACGCTACTTTAATAAATAAGTGCGTAATGATGATATTAGTTTTCATAATTTCTGTTCCGAAAATAATTGACATGTACGTAATATGCAAGAAAAAGAATCAAACACCGAATGCTGGTACAGACGGGAATATCTAGCTCTCGGGTAACTGTTTAGCGGAAACTCGGCAGAGCCTCGTTACCGCTGTAAAACAGTTACCCTCGAGCTAGATATTCCGGTCTGTACCGGCAGCTGGTGTAAGATTTTTATAAGCAGCCAGTGTAAGATTCTTATAATATCATATCATAACATTAAGATCATTTATTGTTTATCATCAATTATCATCAAGCCTCGCTGATCTGGATACATACCGTGTATGAGGAGATTTAAATTCAAAAGAAAGAATGTGCTTTTTTATAAATAACATGATCTCAAAGTTCTCAACCAATTTAACCCCAATATTGTATTATCTTGCCGTGTGCGTTAAGAATTCTTTTAAACAGTGTATAGAATTATTTCTTTAAAGTTAAATGTATGCGACGATACTACTAGTACGGTTGACCTATACAGCGCTTCATTAGTACAACTTGTGCTGTATTTAATGTTTACAATTTTTTTTTTGAAATTCGGCGTTTTATCATACATCATTCATGATTTAATGTTAAGTGCATTCAGTATGCTGTAATCTCTAACACGTGTCTTAAGGTCATTTATTGATGTGTAAGACAACAACAACAACAACAAAAGCAACAATAAATAGAAAGGCTATTTACCTGTAGTTTCAATATGTTTTTCAGGAAATCCATTCCAGTTAAATGTTTCTAGAATGCTCGTTTTACCAACTTCTCTATATCCAAGTATAACTATTTTAAAAATGCGACGCTCTGAAAACTCCATTTTGTTTCCTCCTTGTTGAACCTTTTTTCAAGTGTACATCTGTTTATGCATAAATAAATTGTTATGATTTAGATTTATCAATCTGAATGTAAACTTGCATTCCTTATTTCATCCTAAAGTCATTTTATTTACTCTTGTTTCTATACTAGAAAACATGTAAAGCAAAATAGTTTCGCCCGAGTTAGTCGGCTAAATATAGATAATTGCCATAAATATAAAACAGAAAATTTCTACCCGACCTTGAATACACAATATCGATTAGCTTTTTTGCCATTATTCAATAAAATTGTTGGCCGCACCTGATCTACATTTTTATGTTTAACTGAATAGAACAGTGCAAAAGAAGTGTCGAGATTGGTAATGCACCTATTACAAAACATATTGGATAATGAGGGAAAAAAATAAAAAATAACTTATTTATCAATTGCTATTTTAAGTATATCATAGAGATAAAATTACAGGTGTAAACGCTGTTTTTTGTTTTTGTTTTCTTTTTCAGACATTACTTTTTTCATGTTTTAAGAGTAACAAATATCCTACCATGGCAATATAAAGCTAATATAAATGAAAATGTCTAGCTGGTCTTATTTCATTCCCTTTTTCACTACATCGTTTTTAACATCGGGATATGTTCAACCCTTTAATTGTTTTTAATTAAAAAGATCATTATCTCACTGAAAAAAATGATGTCGTTCAGTTTTATATGAAAGCTTAAATCAGTGTCGTTTGACTTATTGAAATTTCCATTGTTTTAATAATCAACTTAATATAAATAACGTAGGACATTTTTCAAACATTTAAGCATTGTAATGAAATGTGATGATGTTAAATGATGATGAGGAGGAGGATTTTTTATATTGAATTTTGTATTTGTACTTAACTTTAATACTGATTTAAACATAATTTTACTATTTCATTTTGTCCTCGATATAAAGATTTGAAACATACTTCAATGTACTCTAAAGAGAGACCTAGAATGTTAAAACTTTTAACAAGGTTGAATGTTTAAATAATTTAACTTTATATTTACAAATTAGGAAGTTTGGATACATAATATAATGATAATTATTAATTCATCAATTTTTGTGATATATGTATATACTATTTACGAAGGTTATTATACATTGTTACATATACTGCGCAACCTGGACTTGCTGCAGTATCGGACTTGTTGCAGAAATGTACTTGCTGCAGTATTATTGGACTTGCTGCAGATTGGAATTTCTGCCCAAAATTAACTGCAATACCTACCTGCACTTGTTGAGAATTTGAACTTGCTACATATCTGAACATGCTGCTCACATTACTGAAAATTACAATTATTTGGTTCTGTACTTATCAACGAGATGTTCCGAAATGCGAATCTTATTTAATGGCAAGAACCGACAAGAACCTTAATTCAAAACTGCCGTAACACCAAAACGTGACTTTAAAGTCATGTGGCATGGCGAACTATTTCTGTTTTCATACTCAGTATATCATTCAAAGTTTACTTAATTCCAAATTTTGTTTGTTCTTGCTATCATTGGCTGTAACTTTGTTATTTTTGAATGGATTGTCTACAAACTTGAACATAATAATCTTCAAGGATATCCCTTAAAAATAACCTGACAGACCTTGACCTTCACTCTTAAATGACATTGACTTTGAAGGTCAAATTATTGAAATTTTCATTTTTTGTTGTTGTAACTGGCTGTAACTTTGCTATTATATTATAACAGAACAATTGACTTGTGCTCTTTAATGACCTTGAGCTTGAAGGTTAAATTACTGAATTTTCACAGATTTGTGCATTAAATGACCATATATATTTACGTGATGTAACGCTAAGGTACTGAGGCTTAATAAGCTTGAAAGAGCTTCAACTTTTGTAATTCCATACAGCATTATACTTTAAAGGCTTATTATGCCTCAGAAATGAAAAAGACATGTTTATTTTTTTGGAAGTTTTATAACGATAAATAACGTAAAAGAGCTTGTAAGACGCTTGTTACCTGAAAAAGTAGCGTCAATTTTTAAATTATTTATCCCAAAATTAGCAAAATGTAAACAAAACAGTATTTTGTCTGTCATAAAATATACAAAATCATTATAGCTGATATAATTGCCGAAAATCAACAGAAGTGAAGATGATGAGTTTATTGGACAATCAGTAATATTTTGGAAACTTTAAAAGTACGCCAAAAGTAAAAACCTTTTCAAAAATAGAAAATGGGGTATAATGGGGCGGGGGCATTTATAGCATACTGCTGCATGCTTAATACTGGTCATATTTTGGTCTACTTATTTCGGACTACGGTCATTGAGTATGTATATTGTTGAAGGAAGGAGATAATTATCCGGGTATCTATCAAAATGACTACAACCATTATAACATTCCCTCACAATTTACGTTAGGGTTATGAAGGAGTGTGAAGGTGTGTACATGATAAACGATTGAATTAATTAAATGTATCAAAATAACATTTGATAAATTATTTTCATTGCAAGTTCTCATTTTGCTGCTCAGTAATTAATATAGATATTAAAGGGACTCCACTGAGGTTTATGACATGATGGGACTGAAAATGTGTTTTTTTCAGATAAATGTACTATTTGATTTAGGTTTAGAACACTAATCCTTGTGCAAAATTTCAAATGATTCGTGCACTTCGTCTTTCCAGAATAATTATTCAAATTGTAAAATAATGATACAAAATGAAAAGCGTTTAAACGCTTTTCACTCAAATCGGGCTATGAAAAGCATAAACATCCATTTTAAATATATTTCAAAGTATAATTCTTAACTTTCTTTGCATATATTTCTGTTTAAAGTGCCCTAGCTAATTTATGTAATAAATAAAAATGTTATGTTTTTAGGGTTTTTAACCTCAGTGGAGTCCCTTTAAGTGTTTATAATTGTCATCGAAAAGTATGTTCGATTGAAAATCATAGCTTCTATAGAAACTTCAGCTACATGTTCGTTTTTTTGGACAATAGAAAAAAGTCACACAAGGATTGAAATATTAATTACTTTATATTTCACAAAGTTTATCAACCTCCAACGTTTCGAGGGGTCAACCCCACTTATCAAGAATTTGCTGTTTATTTTATAAATCAATTATTTATCCTGTATTTTTCCCTGCACTATGTTATGTACGAATTAATACAAATACGCATAAAATAAACAGCAAACTGCGTGCTAAAGAGCGGATGTTGGATGTTAATAAACTTTATGAAATAGGTAGTAATTTATTAATTGTTTCTAGGGTGATTTCTGAAATATTTATTGTTACATATTGAGAGAACAAGAAACACACAATAGTATTTGTGCTATTATTTTGACATTTGATTATTATCCGGCGAAATGTTATCGCAGTCCTATGAAAATGATAATTACTGAACATTAACAAGCAAATTGCATATTAATTTCTCATTAATTTTTGTTTGTATTATTTTTTTTATTTGTATTTAGACACTAATATCAGGTTTCTGCAACCTGATTTTGTAGACGTTGCTTTAAGTAATTCTGTTAACAAATCAATGCAGATAGTAGGCTTCGAATTCGATCTTTTGTTTTCACAGGTCAGATAATATCACTATTACTGTTCTTTATTAAGTGTGAACTAACTTCGACGTGTTAGAGTAAACAGCTATAACTATCTTTACATCTAAATGATTCTCACTCCAAGCTATCCAAAATGTTTCTTATTTCGCCCCAGTCTACATTTAGAGTAGGACATTTCTGCATTGATTCAACTAAAACATCAAACGTAGCTATTTCAACGTTCTGACTCCATTTTGTAAGCATAGCAAATATTTTCATTGACGTACTATGTGGATTATCTTCAATAATCTGTTCGATTTGAACCTTGGTCACACCCAGTTCATGTCCTAATGTTTGCCAGTTGTGACCTATTTGGTTTGAGATTTGACTAAGCACTTTTTCTGTAACTCCCTTTTTCGGAATCTGAAGCTTCATTCTGTGGTCAATATACCACTCACTAAATCCATCCGCTGTAATGATAGCATGTGATTCAAAATCCGGACAAGGAATTTGTTTAGCTGTTACAACTTGCTTCCATTCGATTGTGTCTTTACTCCCATTCACTCCGTGAATTTCATGATTACAACGAAATTTTATGGCATACAGTTTAGCACAAGTTTCTTTTGAACATTTAAGCTTGTGAAATTCATGCTCAATCACAGCTTCAACAAATCTGCGTAGCCTATCACAACGATCACCGTCAATTGCAACTTTTGAACAAAGATTTGCTACTGACAATTCGATTGTTTCTGATCTCATTTCTGCAAATCCAATATGGTTATTTTCAAGCCTTGCTGCACATAGATTTTTGTACATGACCGGCTTATCTCGAAAATGAATAATCGGCCATTTGCCAACAATGGCGGCGACAAGTCGATGGTAGATTGTAGGAATTATGGTAGAGATTTCAAATTCCATTACAAACCGTAGTGCTGACTGCCTCCTTCCACACAAAAGCTGCTCAAACTCATCACTGGGATATAGATCTCTCAGTAAACTCGGAACAACATACCACCCAAGACCCGATGATTTTTTTGTATCTTCTTCATATTTGGTAGCCTCAGAGATAATATGGTGCTTCGCAAGAAGCTCCAATAATATTTCCCTGTTTTCCATATACATTAATTCTTTATCTTTGCTCCAAAGTTTATCGACAAGTTCTTTTTCTAGTCTTCCCTCGTCATGAAGTTTGTTGAATGATGGCCGAATGTCGGGATCTTTCTTGCAAAATTGCTCACTAGTTATAAGGCATTTAAAGGCATCAATCAAATATTGGGGATCTAGTACAACGTAATAAGATATCGAATCCTCGTCAAAATAGATGAAAGTTCCTTTGCTGTGGTGGTACTGGAGAAATATTCGTACTTGATCAACTGAACCCAGCGGATACTCATTCCAAGCATCAATTGTCATGACATATTGGAACGTTATTATTTTTAAATGTATTTTTTCTTTCAATGATTTTTCAAGCTGTATCCATTTTGCTGGAATTTCAACAGTGTTGGCCTTTTCTCTCCCTATTTCAATGATGGCTTCACGCAACGCTGTAACACCTTCATCATCTGCGACAGTATTATCCACTGCAAAATCTTTTCTATAAATGTGTTTTAAGAGTTTTGTACCATCAAAAAGTTTTCGAATATTTTCAAAGAACGTTTCTATCTTCTGATCGACATTTCCTTTCAGTTTATCCTTATGTGTACCAACGAGTATGACGGTAGGCTCCACTCCATTTTCTGATCCGACGAAAGAGTGGATGGAATTAATCCAGAACCGTACGTAATATGCCATACTTCTTTCATGTGATTCCGTAGGGAAATCTTGGTCCACAGCTATTTCGTTTAAATGAGATGTTAAGTCTAACACCAAGAGATAGATAGCTTTTCTACTATGGAAGATCATATGCGTTGCATAAAAAACGAACTGTCCACCAAAGTCCCAAAATTCTACCGAAATATCCATATTATCGTCTCCCTCCTTTGAATTTTCTCTACTAAGTTCTTGTGCAAATCGAATTTTATCGTCGTCAGATAGAATGGAACGTCTTCCTAATGAGTCGTCATTTGACCCTTCAGAACAAATTTCATCGGACATTTTGTAACTATCATCAATAGCATCGGGTATTTCCGATGACTGTGATTCTGAACTTTTCAGCGGTGTTTCTGAATCTTTCTGTATGTTATGTTCTCCACTCAAATCTTTTATTTCATCGTCATTATTCTTCTCCGTCGATTCAAATAACGACGCTTTATCCTTCAAGAACCGAGCAACAGACGCCAGTCTCTTTACAAGCTTTGAGCAGTCCTTGTCATCGTATTTGCTGTATGAAAGTTTACCTTCAGATGTTCGTTGACAAGTAAAATGTTCAACATCAATTGCATTCGTACTTTTGACGTTATTTATGTCCTTGTTGAGAATCCTCCTCATCAGAGTGGTCTTTCCTTGGCCATAATTTCCAACAATGTTAACACGGATAGACCTATCAAGCTCTTTACCTTCTGTCAACGCCAATCTATACAGCTGCAGTGTAAATGGATCTTTCATCAGTTCTTCTGGAACTAAAAACATTATAGAATGTGATACAATGCGAACAAATTGTTTTTTTAAAAGAAATTGTCTGTAATATACGTAAATATACATGTTTTGTTTCGTTTTGTTTTGTTTTATTGCGCACCAACACAGTTAAGGTCATTTGACGCCGAACAAGGGTTATTTTGTTGAAGCAACACTAGAGCTCAAAATCACCTCACCTGCTAAAGGTAAAAGATGCATAGACTCCATTAATTCGGACCCACTTAGTCGTTAAGAGGCAACCCCTCAGTCACAAAGGGGAAATATACATATTTTTCACTTTTTGAATTAAAAGAAAATCTAGCATTCGAGATATTCAGTCAAGTCTTTTCAAATATACAGCGATCAAAATTGTGAGTTACATGTATAATCAACATGTTTAAAAATTTATTAACTTTTTTGTTACCTGTATCTGAGACAGTGGAGTTGCTCTTTGTTAAGTGCTGAAAGAGAAAATAAGCTTTACTTAATGCATTATTAAAACATCATTAAGTCATTTGTATTGAATGGAAATAATAATAAATTAAAAATTGTGTGAATGTATCTGCGGGTGACTTTTATAATCAAAATTTACTATTTACCAAATCAAAATGATGCAAGTGATGTAGATTACTCGTAGATTTGTAGCTTACATTGAACCACAGCCGTCCATGGATATTTCCGTGGCACTGATTCTGCAACATGTTTTATTTTGCAGTGTTGAACAACTTTCAATACAATGCCATTATTCTGTGTCTATAGATATTCATGGAAAAAAGTGTTGAAAAGATAGTTTAAAATAAAAATTACAAAATGTACTAAGTCTTACTGGAAACATCCATCCATTGATCATATCCTTTGCTTTTTTGTATGACCATCTCTTTCTCTTTTTATCATCATAGCCCTATAATGATATTGTTATTCTTAATCAAAATTAGACAGAAAAAGCTAGAACTGTTATAATTAAATATTACCAGATTGATAATCAGATTACATCTTTAAATGAATACCTTTAAAGAAAGTCACTATTTGCTAACTGATGTGGTTGTCTTAATGATCATACGCCAATTACATGCTGTATTGGTATAACGGCTGATTTGATTTCCAAAAAATATATTTCTTGTAAAATAATATGAAAATCTGGAAATAGGGTGATCCCTCCGAAGCATTAATCACAACAAAATTACACGAAAACAGACTCGGTTTGATTGATTCTGTGAATGAGGGATAATGAAAAGTGTAACATCTCGTACGCCCCCTTTGAACCGGCTTGAGCGGTACTTCATTTTCAACATTTAATGTGCTAAAACCCGTTTATAGGATTCATGGAAATCTGTAACCGTAGAGAAAAACAAAAGCACCCATCACTTTGCTTTAAATGGCATAAAACTAGACTGGTATGTATATTTAGATTGAAAATGTGATCCTGGATATGCAACACTTACTTTTAGAGCAGTTTCGTCTTGAGCATTTATTTTACAATGTATTTTTTTCCAGAAAACAATTTAGTGTTTACTGGTATTGCCCGTAGTCTCAACCTTTTCCTGAGCACATGACATTATGCACAAGATAACAATTAATCTTTTTCAATAAATTCAATTTTAAAGTAATATCAGTAAAATGTTTTATTTCGGAACATTGTATTCATTTTACTTTTTTTGTAAACAAGATGAAATACTTGTATGTATGTCTGCATGTCTGTCTGTTTGTTTGTCTGTCTGTCTGTAAAATTGCGTTCTGTTTACCTTCAATATTCGTGTGTATTAACTTTGAAGAAAATATTTACTTGTTGAAAAGCAATTGTGTATATCAATATATGTAATATAATTATATTTGACATCAAACGTACCAAGAAAACGTAAAATGGGTATATTTTATGGATCTAAATGTTTTTACAAGTATATAGCTCTTCAAATCGATAAGTTAATGGGAATTATATCCAAGTCGTATTATACAATTAGAATAGTTTCTTACGCATTATTTGGTAAGGTAAATGAATATGCATACAGGCATAAAGTGAAGAGGTTAGGTCACTTACTGGACTAAGCCATCCAAACCAAGTATTCGTTGCTTGCTCATTTTGTTCAGTCGATGTTTCTTTTTCTTCCTTTTCACTCTGCAAAATATCAAAAATGTTTCGCAATTCACCACTGCGGTGTCTATTTCGGAATCAATAAGTTTGGCTTTTTAGTTATCTGACCAGAAGTCAGTGCTTCTTTGTCGGTAGTCCGTAGTGCCTCATTGATTGTCTCAAAGGACAAGTGCAAAGCCAAGTAAAACTTAATTAAAGACATTTCTCGACTGACTCGTCAAATAAACAGACTTATTGATAGATCGTGAAAAGTAACGAATTTAGGTTATTGATACTGTAACGCATGATTTTGCACATTGTACATTTTAATATTCTCCGAAAATTAGTAATAATGGTAGCAAAACTTATAAACCAGAACAAAATTCGATTACTGTTGCAACCTTAGCTGTTATTGCGAAAAGATCAAAACGTGTTACCAACCAAAAGCCACCCAGACCAAGTTTGAAGTTTTTCATTCTGTTTCTCTGTTGCATTGTCGTCTACCAAAGTCCATGAATCCTAAAAAAGGAAGTGTTTATATCTTTTATTAATGTTATTCCTATATTGCTTTGTTCATGGTGCAATCACTTTATTGTTAAATGAGAACATGTTTATAGCTTTCAATATACTGAAATGATTATAAAGCATATTTGGTGTAATAGAGATTTGTGGACATTTATTTATAAATATAAGTAAACAAGGTATCTGCATAGCAATAAATGTTGTTGATCAAAACAAAAGAAACAAAAATGTATATGTATCTAATGAAATGTTTTTACCAAGAAAATGCTTGATACCAAGTTAAAATCCTAAATATCGTAGTTTATATTGAGGATATAATTCTGAGAAAAGATTCTCCTTGACTGAAATGGAACAGTCTCTGCATACTTTGAGATTGTGTTGCTCTACTTTAAGATTGTGTTGTTGAAAATACATATTGAATTGTGAAACCCCATATATGTCCATACACTGGCTTTAGAGACATATCTACGATACTTAATTCATAGTCTTTGTAAAAACGGACAGAAAAGGTATATCTACAATAAGCATTAGAAACTTACCATCTTTATTCTTATTTTCCTTACTATCATATTAAACGCTTCATTTATACCAGTTGATGCCTTTGCGCTCACCTCAATAAAGTTAGCCCCATTCTCGGCTGCAAACTGAAAATATCATATGGCAATCATTTGAATTTATTCAATGAAAGTTGGGTACATACTCTTAAGCTAGACTATTGACATTTGACGTATATGAAAAGGCATGAATTGGTAGAAGTAAATAAAGGATACTGAAAGATCTATATATTATAAAAAAAAGATAATTCAAAATCTAAGACAATGAGAATTTTTCATATTTCTTTTAAACAATGAACAATTACTCATATCAAGTAATCATAAAAAACCTGTTCTGCTTTTTCTTTGCTAACTTTTCTATTTTCTGCATCCAACTTGTTTCCAACAATCAGAAAACTAGGATCCTTATCTTGTGCTATCTAAGAAATAAATAAAAAAGATTCTTATATTTTATGACAAAGTATACATGTATGTTGAAGTAGTAAACTATCATATGATTGTGCCATACATTCATTACGCTGTGACATATTTGTGCATATTTCCACCTTACCTTTATTTAATTTGTTGTCTTTTTTCACATTTAAGTAACATAAAGCTGTTTCGATAAACAGAATGCGATACGCGATAATATCTTTAATCTTATTTCTTACATGATATAGATACGGAGAAGATAGAAAACCTATGATGTAAAGATATTGCTAAGTGGAGTTGAAAGTATTGCTCTTGTTTGGGAATGAATACAATAACTATTGTCACTCAAACCCATAAATATTTGTTTATGGTTTCGTTATTTTCTTCCAATTATCCTGCGACTTAAAAGTTAAAATTATGTCTAGTATGGAAAGTAAGAAAGTAATTTGGAAAGATATACTTCTTTTAAATGTTTGATCCTCTTATCCATTCCTTTGAAAGTTTCCTCATTTGTAATGTCATAAACAAGAATAAACCCCTGAAACAGTAGACAATAAATAATGATATAAATTTTCCAGCATATTCCGAACATAAAGCTTTATAATAAGTTTTGAGGCATTTATCTTTAAAGTGAAATAATGATTTGAAGTAAAGTATATAGTAAAGTTATAGCATGGTTTTCTCTACGTTAAGGTTTTACGGGCAAAGAGAGTGGTGTCTGTGGCTGAATGGTTAATGTTGTTGACTTAGTACGACATTCATCTTATCGCTATGGGCTCGAAACCCGCCAGGGGCATTTGATGGAAGCTTAAATTATGCACGGACGGGTACCTGGGGTCTTTCTCAACAAATAAAACTAGAAATTCGCGAAATGACGATACAAGACTTTGCGATGTAACACCCAACAAAAATTAATCCATTGTTTTATTTATCCGGGAAAATTGGACAACCGTAATGCGGAATTTATGTCTTGTACGTATGGGTCTGATTTATATACTGTTTCTGTAAATAATAGAAACATAATGTGTTAAGGTTTTATTACTGTAACAGAAAAATTAACATATGAAAATGTAATTCCTTACCATAGCTGGTTTGCAATGGAAGTCGATAATGTCTCGATGACATTCTTTGTCGCACGTGTCCCTTTAAAGAATGAGTTCAAAATTTATTCAAGAGACACGTTATTGGCAGTTTTGAGATTTTTTGCAACCCTCATACTACTTAAAAGTTTTGATACTTTTCAAACTCAGGACTGTATGTACTTTACCATAGAAGAATTTCTTAAAGTAATGTTCTAGCGAAGATGACAACAAGCGTTATATGCAAAGCTAAAGCTAGATATATATGCATAAAATGAATACAATCCATGGTTATATAAATTCAACATTGAGATGTTTAGAATTATAACATAGGCGCTCGTGATTCTTTTTTTAGAAAAATAATTCAAAACAAGGATTAAAGTAATGTCAAACTTGTCCATGGTCTTGCAATCTAGAAAAATCATCACGAAACAAATTATCATATTTTACATGGTATTTCTCATTCTCCATCTTGTAAGAATAATTATATATTCCGATAACCAGTAAAATATATCATGTTAAACTTATAAAATTGAACATTTTACCCAACCAACAACTACTATATATTTCCGTGTACACACTTTCAATGCTTATTTTATTTATATGAACTCTAATTGGAATGACCTGAAAGTGTCGTATTGAGAAAAACAATACGTATTTCTTATTGATAAGGCGTTCAACAACTTACCAAATATATAGTTGTATCTTTTGTCCCGCTTCTTCTGTGTGTTTTATAGCAAAATTGACCGCTGTAAAGAAACAAAAAGACAGATGTTTTATTCCGACGAAGTCTAAATGGGCGTAACCAGATCTAACTGGCTATATTTGAAGAGGAGTAAGAAATTCCTCTTAGAGAAGTGGAAGTAAAGAGCATAGGACTTTTCATTCGCTTCAGACTGACATAATTTTATTCAGAAAAATGTAATTTTACACACTCTTAAATGATAACATTATCGTACTAATATAGAATGATTATCACAATTAAAATGAAACTGTTTGGTCATATCAATCAAGCAGTTTTTTCCCCTGAACTTTTGTACATTGTGTATCCCAATATATTCCCTCAAAATGTCATTCGCAATTCCAGAAAACATTCGATAGAGCGTATGTTAATCATAAAATTAAGTTATCTTGAACTTTACAATTAATGCCTACAAAATCAGTCAAATCATACAATACAAAGTTTGTTTTTATCATAACGATGTACGTGATACTTATTAAACTCCTTCATTTATTTGAGCTCAGCTTATGAAGTTTATCTGACCACTCATGGTACGACTAACCAGTACTGGTGTCAAAGGATGAAATATATTTGTAACCATGGAAGGGTTCGAGCCAACGATCCACTGATTGACAGACAGACTCTTTAAACACAACGTCACTATACATCCCTCTTTAAAGGGATGGGCCTTTTTACTATTATAAATGGTTTAATTTAATTACACCAGAATTTTGTAAAATGTGAAGTTTTAACCTATTTTACATTCATTACTATAAAAAAACGTTTTAATGCTGTAATCAAAGTAAGAGATGACCTTGCTACATCTTATTACCACACTTCGTTATAAACGCTACGTTACACGTAAATAATTGATACGCTACGATAGCAAGTTCTTAAAATAAAACCAATTTCAAAATTCGTTTTTGTAGGTGAACGTTAAGAATGCAAAGTTGCGATATTTGCAAACGACTTCTGCATCATGGTGAAAATCACCAAAGAAGATAAAAATCTATACCCATGTATCAAAATTACATAAATTTCTATCTATCTTTAGGTAGTTGTGTAAATAAATATCATATTATAACTTTTTGATCCTTTATTGTTTATCATCAATTATCACCGTGTATGGGTAGATTTAAATACAAAAGAAGGAATGTCCTTTTTTATTTAAATAACATGATCTCAAAGTCCTCAAGCAATTTAACCCCAATATTTTATTATCTTGTCGTGTGCGTTAAAAATTCTTTTAAACAGTGTATAAAATTATGTCTTTAAAGTTATATTTATGCGTTTGAAAGTAATACGATACTACTAGATACTACTAGTTTGGTTGACCCTAACAACGCTTAAATAATACGACTTTTTCATATCTATTTTTCTTTAAAATTAAGCGTTATATATCTTACATTATTCATGAGTTTAGTTTCTGACTTAGTCAATGTTAAGTGCATTAAGTATGCTTAAAACTCAACACTTGTATTAAGGTCATTTATTAAAATGTAAAACAACAACAACAACAACAGTAAATAGGAAGGTTATTTACCAGTAGTTTCAATATGCTCTTCAGAAAATCTATCCCTGCAAAATCTTTGTAAAATACACGTTTTACCAACTGCACTATGCCCAATTATAACTAGTTTAAAAATGCGACTCTTTGTCTCTGAAAACTCCATTTTGTTTTTTCCTTGTTGAACCTTTTTGCACGCCCAATACTAAGTATACATCTGTTTATGCATAATAAACTGGTATAATTTAGCTTTATCAAACCGAATGTACATTTGCATTCTTTATTACATCCTAAACTCACTGTATTTACTCTTGGGTATAGTAGAAATTGTGTTATTAAAGCAATATAGTTACGCCCGAGTTAGTGCGCTAAATATAGATAATTGCTAAAATATAAAACAGAAAAAAACTACCCGGCCTTGGATACACAATATCGATTAGCCTCAATAAAATTGTTGGCCGGGCCTGACCTACATTAATAGAACAGTACAAAATAAGTGTCCAATTTGGTAATGCATCTATTATTATAAAACATATTGGATAATAAGGGAAAAAAGAAAAATAATTTATTTATCAATTTCAATTTTAAGTGTATCATAGAGATAGAATTACAGATGTAAACGCTGTTTTTTTCAGACTTTACTTTTTTTCATGTGTTAAAAATAACAAATATCCTACAATGGCAATATAGAGCTAATATAAATGTAAATGTCTAGCTGGACTTATATTGATTTTATTTTACTCCCCTATTCACGACATTGGATATGTTCAACACTTAAATTGTTTTTGATTAAATAAGATCATTTTCTCACTGAACAAAATGATGTCGTTCAGTTTTTATATGAAAGCTTAAATCAGTGTCATGTGACTTATTGAACTTAATTGACTGAAATGTCCATTGTTTTAATAATCAACTTAATATAAATAACGTAGGGCATTTGTGTGTTAACTTGTTCATACATCATTTAAGCATTGTAATGAAATGTGATGATGCTAAATGATGATGATGATGAGGAGGAGAATTTTCTATATTAAATTTTGTATTTGTTCTTAACTTTTAATACTGATTTAAACATACTTTTAGTGTTGTATTTTGTCCCCGATATAAAGATTTGAAACATACTTCAATGTACTCTAAAGAGAGACCTAGAATGTTTAAACTTTTAGCAAGGTTGAATGTTTAAATAATTTAACTTTATATTTACAATTTAGGAAGTTTGGATACATAATATATATGATGATAATTATTAATTCATCTTTTGTGTATTTTTTTGTTATATAAGTACATGCATATATATGTCACAGGTGTACAAATTTACCTATATCATCCCTATATCCCCAATATACTAATACTCTAAATTTCAGCAGTATGCCGTAACATTGTAAATCGACTACTCAACGTGATTTACAATAACACTGTCTTTTCACCTTTACTCTTTACTATTTCTTTGTTATTTAAATGATTTTCTATGACGTATATTAATTTGACCTATAGGGTCAATTAAACAATATTGTTTTGAAAGAAAATGAGATTGCACTGTGTACATTTGGTTTATATAACCTTAACTTAAATCATTTAAATTAATTATAATTAAAGGAATATATTTTGCTACAGCCGGAAGTTGTTTTGATATGTCATCCCCTGACCCCAGAAACTCTACCGTTGAGACGGCCAGTCTTGCGCCTCGGCGACATATATATGATGAGGTTATCATATATTGTTACATATGCTGCACAACTTTGAGTTGCGGCAGAACCTGAACTTGCTGCAGTATTGGAATTGCTGCTCAAAAGTAACCTGCAATACCTGCACGAGTTGCAGACTTTAACTTGCTACATTAATTAGATTTCCGGTTCAACATGAACATGCTGTACTATCTGGACTTACTGCTTACTTTACTGAGAACATTATTGAAATTATCGAGGGTTCTTTCGAAATCATAATTTTCTTCTTATCAGAGACGTCTAACTTATCTTCCGCTTACCCGTTCTTAGTTCTTTACAGAGAGAAGTCGCTATCTCAGGTATGTTCTATTGTAAACGGTCATTGTCACAGCCCCTCTCATGGGGTAGGCAGGACTCTTTGTTATTTGAGCGTTACTCTCCCAAGGTAGTCATGACTCTTTGTTAATCGGGCGCCACTCTCACGAGGTAGTCATGACTCTTTGTAGATCGAGCGCTACTCTCCCGAGGTAGTCATGACTCTTTGTAAATCGAGTTCCAGTCTCCCGAAGTATTCATAACTCTTTGTTAATCGAGCGCTACTCTCCAGAGGTAGTCATGACTCTTTGTTAATCGAGCACAACTCTCCCGAGGTAGTCATAACTCTTTGTTAATCGAGCGCTTCTCTCCCGAGGCAGTAATGACTCTTTGTTAATCTAGCGCTTCTATCCCGAGGTAGTCATGACTCTTTGTTAATCGGGCGCCACTCTCCCGGGATAGTAATGAATCTTTGTTAATCGAGCACAGCTTTCCCGAGGTAGTCATGACTGTTTGTAAATCGAGCTCCACTTTCCCGAGGAAGTCATAACTCTTTGTCAGAGCGCTTCCCTCCCGATGTAGTCATGACTCTTTGTTAATCGGGCGCCACTCTTTAGGGATAATCATGACTCTTTGTAAATCGAGGTCAACTCTTCCGAGGTAGTCATGACTCTTTGTTTATCGAGCGCCACTCTCACGATGTAGTCATGACTCTTTGTTTATCGGGCGCCACTCTCCCGAGGTAGTCACGACTCTTTGTTAATAGAGCGGTACTCTCCCGAGGTAGTCATGACTCTTTGTAATTCTAGCTCCACTCTCTCGAGGTAGTCATAACTCTTTGTTAATTGGGCGCCACTCTCCCGAGGTAGTCATGACTCTTTGTTAATCGAGCACAACTCACCCGAGATAGTCATGACTTTGTTAATCGAACACTACTTTCCAGAGATAGTCATGACTCTTTGTTAATCGAGCGCAACTCTTCCGAGGTAGTCATAACTCTTTGTTAATCTAGCACTACTCTCCCGAGGTAGTCATGACTCTTTGCTAATCGGGCGCCAATCTCCCGGGATGGTCATGACTCTTTGTTAATCGAGCACAACTCTCACGAGGTAGTCATAACTCTTTGTAATTCTAGCTCCACTCTCCCGAGGAGTCATAACAATTTATAAATCGAGCGCTACTCTCCCGAGGTAGTCATAACTCTTTGTTAATTGGGCGCCACTCTCCCGAGGTAGTCATGACTCTTTGTTAATCGAGCACAACTCACCCGAGATAGTCATGACTTTGTTAATCGAACACTACTTTCCAGAGATAGTCATGACTCTTTGTTAATCGAGCGCAACTCTTCCGAGGTAGTCATAACTCTTTGTTAATCTAGCACTACTCTCCCGAGGTAGTCATGACTCTTTGCTAATCGGATGCCACTCTCCTGGGATAATCATGACTCTTTGTTAATCGAGCACAACTCTCCCGAGTCGTCATGACTCTTTGTAAATCGGGCGCTTCTCTCCATGACTTCTTCTTAATCGAGCGCTTCTCTCCCGGGGTAGTCAAGACTTCTTTTTAATCGAGCGCAACTCTCCCGAGGTAATCATAACTCTTTGTTAATCGGGCGCAACTTTCCCGAGTAGTCATGACTCTTTGTTAATCGGGCGAAACTCTCCCGAGTAGTCATGACTTTTTGTTCATTGAGTGCTACTTTCCCGAGGTGGTCATGACTCTTTGTTAACCGAGCGCAACTTTTCCGAGTAGTTATGAATCCTTGTTAAACGGCGGCTACTCTCCAGAGGTAGTCATAACTCTTTGTTAATCGAGCGCTACTCTTTCGATTAAATCGCGACTCTTTGTTAATCAAGCGCTACTCTCCCGAGGTATTCATGACTCTTTGTTTATCGGCGAAGTATTCCTCCCCTTGACGGTTCCTTTGCCTGATTGATACAGAAAAGTAGCAAAGTTTGGCCTTACTGGTGCAAGGAGTATGATGAGATAAAACATGGATTATATTTTGCTGAATTCTTTAATAATGAAAGCATGTGGTATAATAATAACGTTTTGGATACCTAACAAGTAATGTAATTCTGTATTCATTCACACCAATTTTCATTTATAAAGCTATAATTTTATTGAAAAGCATTTGTTTGGCTTTGTATTTATCAACGAGATGTTCCGAAATGCGAATCTTCCATTTAACCGTCACGACTTGTCACGAACCGACAAGAACCTTAATTTATTTACCTTTAATAAACATTTACCGTATTACCAAAACATGACGTCAAAGTCACGTGGTATGGCGAACAATTTCAGATATCATACTCCATGATAGATCATGCAAAGTTTGAATAATGGCTATTATCCAGTTTTCATTCTGACATATATAATCCTTTGATCACTTTTAAATTTATAAACGAATGCATGTGTTAACAATAAACACATGAACGAGACAAATATCAAGAAAGATTCAAATACAAAACAGCAGCAAAAACAACAAAAAGAAAAGAAAGGAAAACGAAAATGGAAAGAAAAAACAATAAAATGAAAATGACAAACACCTTGTAATAGAAGAAAAAAAGAACATTTCCTTTTCTTTATTATCAATTACATCTTCAGCTATTAATAAATACGAGAGACGTTAAGTCATGTGCTAGGAACTACATATACTTTCCATGAAAGTGAATCATGATAATATTCTTTAACTAACTGAAAGAAAAACAACCGAAAAAACCCACAAAATTGTTCATATGAATATGATACACTTAGTCTAATAAACTGACCAAAGTTGTAAGGAGATAAAGGTTCACATGAAAACAATTGTATCTACTTAAACGAAAGGAAACGTCATGTGATTTTATATATATTTAATTTCCCTGAAGATAAATGATGTAGTTCTGTTACAATAGTTGAGCAAATCATGGTTAATTTCATATATTAATTTAATGATTGTGTGATACTGTAGTTCTATAGTTAATTGTTTATGGAAAACAGCATAAATTGTTATTGAATAATGGCAGAGGAAAGCAAGGTTGATTTACATATTTCATTAGTTATAGTGGGAGATGACCAATCTAGCGTCAAGGATTTATTTTACTCGTTTGTCAACGAGCCTATTCCAAACAACCCTTGTAAGTATTAAACTAGTTTTAAGCATTATTCTCATTTTTACGAAAACAATGGTCTATATCGACCAAACAAGATATGAGTCGCGTCACGACAAAACCAACATAGTGCGTTTGCGACCAGCATGGATCCAGACCAGCCTGCGCATCCGCGCAGTCTGATCCGGATCCATGCTGTTCGCTATTAGTTTCTCTACTTGTAATAGGGTTTGTAAGCGAACAGTATGGATCCAGATCAGACTGCGCAAACCCATTATGTTGGTTTTGTCATGGCGCGGCTCATTATTATGTATACGGATTCTTTTGAACGATTTGATCCCAATGTACATTGAAATATGTACTCATATTGCTGAAATCAAATAAACTTCTCATGATCTATATATTAAATTCAATGTTTTGTAACTTTTAGTCTGGCAAAAGGATCCTGGTAAGGATCCAGCATATCGTTGGTCGAACGTTTGTTGGTTTGGATTATGTAACTGTTAATCTTCAAAGCTCACATAGCGATTTTCAGCTTGAGGGAGACCTCCAGTGCCCCAGCGTGCGTCATATTTTTCAGACACGAGCACCCACTAAAGTAGAACCACCAATCTTCCGTAATAAAACTAGTATTAAAACGTCATCAGAATAATTCATAATTCATGGCAAATTCGAAAACACGTCCGTGAAGTATAAGTTCGATGTAAGCAGTCTTAATGGGGTCCTTATTGTTTAACAATAGCAGACATACACTTTTACTACAAACGTTTCAGTCGTACATATAATGTTGAGATGTAGATAAAAATGTGAATTTATAATAAATTTATAAAACAAAAATGTTTTAATTAAGTTTACAATAACAGATGGAAGCACATATTTGCCAACTATTTTAATAATGGTAAATATATATTTATCTATATATATACTTTAGGAAATTCAAATGTAATTCTGTATCAACTGGTACAGTACTAACAATAGTTGGCTTTATACTCCATCTTTATCCATTCTCTTAATTTGAAATTAATTGTATAATTATTACTTGCGAAATAAGTCATACCAACGTATCATGTATTATTAATGTTCATGTAGGTATTATTAACATCAGTATATATATACCTTTATACTTATTATTTTATTCGTAGCGGGGCTTCCGTGGCCGAGTGGTTAAGGTCGTTGACTTCAAACCACTTGCCCTCACCGCTGTGGGTTCGAATCCCGACAGGGACTTTGGATTCTTTCATGTGAGGAAGCTATCCAGCTAGCTTATGGAACGTCGGTGGTTCTACTCAGGTGCCCGTAATTGTCTGAAATAATGCACGAAGGGCACCTGAGGTCTTCCTCAGTAAAGCTGGAACGTCGCGATATAACCTATACTGTGTCGATGTGACGTATAACCCAAAACAAACAAACAAAAATTTCATTCGTACAAATTCGACAGCCTAAACTGTTCTATAACTAATATAATGAATTAATTCGTACTGCTTTAATTTTATTATAATTGAAATCGGAACAGTCGGATATATTTATAACATTAATCTGAACAATATAGTTCTAACATATTTTCTAGATACAATACAACATGTATCATGTTTATAGGTTCAGTAGAAGCTGGTCAGTATGTTGCAAGAAAGAATATTCTCCTTGATGATCAAAGGATTTGTCTGGAAATTGGGTTAAAACAATTTTTATTATACAACATTGTAATCACTATCGAAATTCTAACTGTTTATTTATTAATCTATATATCTTTTATTTATTTTTATTTCAAATGAACCATTTTATTGATTTTCGTTTATATTCAATTAATATTTAAACCATACAATACTATATTTCTTTTATTTAGTAAAGGTTACATATGACACCTTACATTATACAAAAGTGGACACATTGTTTAATGTTAAACGTGATATTAATACATACATAATGTGGTAAAGCATTACTCGCAGTAAAAACCTAATTATATGTGGCAGCATGAGGATAATTTATTCATTAAAATAATTGAAAAAATGTTATGAAAACAAAGTTTTAAAATAAAGTGAAGAAACTGAACAGTAGCCCAGCAGACCTCAACTAACACCATTAAACATTATTAGCAGTGTGTTTTCATCCTCAGTCTAGTATGTTCTAAGAAGGGTAATATGGTAAGCAAAATAATTCAGCTTTATATCATAAATTAGGCAAGTCATTTACAGGATTTACATTTATATCAATTTGAGTTTAAAGGGTTTGAGTAAACAAATATTATCATAATGATTCTCTTTATTACTTTTCTAGATTGCTTATTTCCGGAGGCAAATGGGAGACTCTAACCAAGTTTAAACAATCATTGTTGCAAGGTTCAATTTATGTAAGTCGGTACTTATCAAATAATATTAAAACATTGTATTTGGTAAATAATAATATTCCATACTCAGTTCTCTATGTTCCCATCGATTATGTTGTATGAAACAAACACCGATTATATTAGTCTGAAATAGTATGGTACACATACATTTTGTTTTTAATGCTGATTTGAAAATAATTAAACCTATTTTAGATAGAATTTAGGATTAAGACTAATAAAACAAAAAGCAATACAATGTATTTTGGTCAACTTTTAAACGTGCATAAATTTTAAAGTAATGATGTTTTCCCCCTCAAATTTCATTACATTCCACTGTAGCTTTTGAATATTAAATGTATTAAAATAAGCAAGAAATTTTGTGATCTGAATTTTGATCCTGATCCTGACCTTGGTTCTTACCCATAAATCATTGTGACAAATATTTCTAGATTTTACATATAGATACTCATTTAAGTGTTATAAATCACATTGAGTTATCTCTTCTTTCTTGAAGTTCTGCTTTCGAAAATGTTATTATTTGTAATACCTTATAGTTAGCCTGTTAAGATTTTTATATATTTATTGTAGGGAGCTGTTATTGTACATGACACATCAGAAAGTATGTCCTTTGATACTTTAGAAGATTCGATTCGGAAATTGAGAACAGTAAGAAACTTATATATTGATGCTTATTTTTATGCTTAATTTTGTTAGTATGTTGTTACAGTTTTGCATCGTTTCTGTCCGCTGTCCTAGGTACTTGGTAACTTAGTGTTATTATATATTTCTAGTCTTTCGGGGTCATTGATTCCAACACTTTTAAGTGTTGACAGCTGAGTACCGTTCAAGCCGGTGCCAGTGGTCATGGGCGATGTTGCACTTTTATTATCCCTCATGTTCAGACTAATTTTAACCAAGTCTGCAATTTTCAAGTTATTTTGTTGTGATTCATGCTTTCGAGGGATCACACTTTATCCAGATTTTTTAAAGTGGTTTTGCGTGATGGAAGTTGCCCGTGAACTCCGCTCTTTCGTGTTGGTATTCATACTTTTATCAGCATCGTGAGCGTCGACTTAATATACATCATCTTTTCATTATAGTTGTCAATTACAACATAATCAAATAATTATTTAACCTCTTTTTCGGTCTTTAGATGCTTATTTAAATTTGTTTGTCGTTTAATCTTTCAAAACTGCTCAAGCCGGTGCTAGGTGGCTTGAAAACTGTTGAAACTAAGTCTGCAACCTTTTAAAATAAATAATATGTTCTAATTGCTCTTGAGGTGTCTCAACTTTTTCTGATGTCTTATAATAATTGTGCACTGCAGAAAACACATATACATATAGATATACATCTAATATTAATTTTCAAACTTTAAAGTATATCTTATGTAAATAAAAGTATGAAAGTGTTTGGTATATTGTAGGAAGTAAGATCTGACATCAAAATAACGTTTGTCATGATCAGTGGGAAAAATGCATCAGAAAATATTGTGAACTACGAACTAGGAAAAGAGGTAATCATTTTAATCCATATACATACGAGTATTTAATTTACAGTTGGACAAAATCAAAACTTTTTCATATAAAAAAAATAAAATTCATGTGATGTGATATTTTCACTTTCCATGGGCCGTGAAAAAGAAAGTGAATACTTGTAAAATTAGACAAATGCTAAACAGTCAAATTACAATATTAAACAATGAAACAATGATTTTTGAACGTTGAAACAACAATTGTTTTTTGAACAATCTGGATATACATATTAATGTAATATTTTTTTCTAAACAATGGATAGATCCCTACTGGGACCTTTTATTTGATTTAACCGCATGTTTTTATTTGTAAAGCAATATTCTTATTTAGATGCCTAATCTAATAATTTAAATAAGAAAGGTAAAGGTCATATGGGGATCGATCTATCCATAGCTTTGAACAACTGATATAAATATGTCAGTCATTTGATATATATTGGCAGCTTGCAGATTCCTTCAATGTGAACTTTATCAAAGCAGATTCAAATACAAATGATGACGTTCAACAGTTGATGATAACAATAATTAACAATATGATGTATGACATACCAAAGCTTTCAGGAAATATGGTAATGGTAAATGTATATATATATATATATATATATATATATATATATATATATATATATATATATATATATATATATATATATATATATATATATATATATATATATATATATATATATATATATATATATATTTAATTTTACCTATGAAATATGGTGCTATATCAGTCAAATATATTTCATATTTTTTTTAAAAATAAATATGAAATATAAATATGAAAGTGGGCGGAGTCAAAACTCATATTTATTTTAAGGGACTTCTTTCGCCATTCATTTTGTTTGAAAAATCTGATAAATACAAACAACTTTTTTGTTGAATTTTGTTTTGAAAACTATCTAGAAAGATAGAAAATGGTCTAACTAAGAAAATAAATCCGAACACCAATATCTTTAATTCAGTCATTAACGCTGTACAGACGTTTAAAAAGTTGTTTACCTGACGTCACAATCTAGCGCTAAATATCGCGTGCAAAACAAGACGATACTTATATTACTGCGCGCTGTATAATTGCAGTTGCGTAGCAGGCAAGGGGGTTCATAACCATTTTTCTTTGATAGTGAAATTAAATAAAAAGGTTATTTTTTCGTTTTTCGTGAAATATGGTATATATTTTCACTCAACATGATAAAATGCTTCATATTTTCACTCGCCGTCCCGGCTCGTGAAAATATGTGGCATTTTATCATGTTTCGTGAAAATATATTCCATATTTCACGAAAAACGAAAAAATATCCTCTTAATATCTTCATATTTTATATTGTTTCGAGTAGGGCAAATGTAAAATGTATGTGAAATGTACATCACAATAACTTTTATTCTCAAGGGCGGATATGCCTCATCATCTTTTTTCACATCAACAAACAAAATTATCACGTGATGACATTAAGTATATTTAAGAAATTACATGTTCATTTAATTACAAAGTGTAATTATCTTCATTTTCTGTATCATCTTTTGACTTTAATGTTTATATGAAAAAAATATTTTTTTTATCTCATCTCATGTAATTTCAGTCAACAGGATGTCCGGATGTAAACAAAGAAGCTGAAAGTGGAAGACAAAGGGGACTTTTCAATCGCCTTTTAAATCCAGTAGTCGGGGTGGGTATTTTAAAGAAATTGCATATTGCAATATATTGCGATATTCACAGACATATTGAAATAAATTGCGATATATTGAGAACTGTATAAATGCTTGAACATCAATAGTTAGAACTACAGAACCTCGACTAAGAGTTTATTGTTAAATATTACGACCTAATAAATAGTATTTGAGAGGTTATTTTATAAAAGATTTGAAAAGATGTTAAAAGGAAGATTACGGAAGCGTATCAAGGCCTACAGTCGGTGAGATTTTTTGCGCCAAGTCAACTTATTTTTATTCGCATTGATAAGATGTTTTTGCATTTCTCAATAAAATTTACTAACAAATATGAAAAGCTTTTAGGCATTGCAACTGAATTTTTATCGATTTGCTTGAAGCTTTTGTCTCTTCGACAAAAATCCTGTCGAAACTTCTTGATTTCACGACTTTGCTGAAATATTTAGTAAGACTCAAAGACGTTACTCGCATTGACAAATAGCTCACGTAATTCAACAAAGTTTTTTTTCAATGATTAAAAACTTCTACGTATTACGTATACATCTTAATGTCTTCATAGAATCTTTTTATGTATTACGTATTAATCATAATATCTTCATGGAATGTATTTACGGAAGCTTATCAGTGCCTCCACTTATCTAAAAGTTTCACGTCATGTCAACTTGTTTCTTCTCGTTTTGACCAAAAACATTCCATGAAAACGTTATGGTTAATACGTAATACATAAAACATTCCATGAAGACGTTATGATAAAATACGTAATAAGTACAAGTTTTTAATAATTGCAAAAAAAACTTTGTTGAATTACGTGAGCTATTTGTCAATGCGAGTAACATCTTTGCGTCTTACTAAATATTTCAGCAAAGTTGTGAAATCAAGAAGTTTCGACAGTTTTTTGTCGAAGAGACAGCACAGTTTGATTTATTGTAAGGTATAAATGTTACCGTCTTATATATGCCAAAATGCAGGAGGAATTGTTAAGTTAAAATCAGTATGAATAAAAAAATGGAGTATTTTTTATACTGCTATGCACTTTGTATATTCATTTCCTAAATGACAACACAACGGAAATGACATTGATCGGCGCTAAGTTCTATACCATGGCCGAAAAGAATTCGACGAGAACTGTCTATAAGTGACAAAGTTAAATTAATTAAAGACAGTGAAGCTTTGCCGAATTTTTGTACATTGTATTAATTAATTTGAAATTCCGACATCATGCGTGACTGACCCGGGACTAATCTCTAAATAGCGCCTTGCAAGAAAGTACTAATGCAGACGAGGTATGGTGAGTTAAAAGAAAGAAAACGCAAATGTTCACCCGCCCACGTCAAGGATCGTGTATACGTTAAGTGTATAGATTGGTTTATGTCTTTTACCTACCAAACGATAAAACAGACATGTAAACCGAATAGTGTACCATACAACTATCCACTGTTTTCAAATTTTGCCTTGAAATGACTTAAACAGACCATCCTGACCATACTTACTTATCAGCATTTAAGTAAAGTTCGAAAAGACAACTTCTCAAATTTGACATATTGAATTAATTGTAAATGAATCTGAAGGTAACAGAAATCCAAATTTGGATAACGAAATCATGCCAGTGAAATATCTTTCACCACAATATTTACACCAAATAAGCATTAATATCACCAGGGGCAGCTGATAGCTCCCAAAATAGATATATATATATATATTGGGTAAGAACAGTTATGAAGTATATAAATTTATATGGGTTATTGTTTGTTGTTCGATGCTATGTATTAGAATTGAGTAGAAAGTGAAAATACACATTTTACGACAAAACTAGCATATAACATCATTGATATATTCAAAACATTTATGAAATACCCTTTAATGTTATTGCAGATATTTGGAGCGCTCCAAGGGATGTCAAAGTCAGGTATTCATCATTCATTAGTCCATTTTCTTTTACAAGTAGCGTTTGACATCATTTTCTATGTTAAATATAAACATATCCCTTTATGACACACCTAAGTACAAACGTGATTGTCTGTATGCATTGTAGAAAAGGAGCTCAGGTTTGTTTCGTTTATATATATTCGCATATGGAGCCAGTAAATCACGACCATTTACTTGAAATGAGATAGCTCCTAAGAAATCTAAATTACTTTCTTTTATGTAGAGATGATGTACGGTTATCTGATATAAACAATGATTATTTAGTGTAGATGACTCTTTTCTTTTTGCTATTTATTGAAACGGTAAATACAATTAAAATGCATTTGCATCACAGATAAAGTAGCTCAAACATACATATGTTTTCAGTTCCAGATGAATTAGAGCCAGATCCTTATACTCTAGAATTGTATGAGAAAGCACTTAAAGACGGCACAGAGAAAGATCAGTCTATTCGTGTGAATGTTGTCGGTAACTACAGACAAGGTAAAACATCTTTAACAAAGAGACTGCTTGGCAATAAAATGCGTGATATACGAAGTACAAATGGCATAGAAATAGGGCGTTATACGTGTCACAAAACTCAAAATGGAAAATACAGCTATAGAAAAATAGACGATAAAAGCTTCGATATTGTTGGAAGGCTAGTTTCAGTGGCACTTTCTAAAGAAACTGATGGAAAGCAATGGGATGATGATCAAGAGCTGCTGCAGCTTTCGCTCAGTCAGTCACTAAAACAAGCTACTGCATCAAATCTTGATTTGCGTAAGCAGCAAGTGGGATACAGTAAACCGGAGAGAACTGCATGTACATATGATAGACAGACATCAGTCGATGGAAAGTCAACAACATTGCGCAGCACAACTAACAGTAGTCATGAGAAAATCGAGAAAACAAGGAAAGCTACAGTGCGCTCAGATCAAGAGATATATTCCTTTACAAAAGCACTTCATAAGAAATCAGCTAAGTCTGACACACACTCGCAAACTGCGTTTGACGTATGGGACTTTGGTGGACAATATATCTTTTATGCTACACATACCATATTTCATAGCAGAAGAGCAATATATCTTTTGGTATTTGATCTATCTCTAGACCTTAAACACATCGTTGTAGATGAGGAATTTCCAACTGAATCCGGCAATAGGTCTATGGAATATTTTCTCCAGTTTTGGATGCAGTCAATTCATTCTTTTGTTGGCACGGCTGATGGAAGGCAACCAAAAGTCATTTTAGTTGGTACACATAAAGATAAGGTCAAAGGAAACCTTGAACAGAAACAAAGATATGTGAAGAATTATTTCGATGACATCAAAAAACTTTTTGACGGAACTGTTCTGCTAAACCATTTACACCCAGAGGTTTTTGCAATTGATAACACAGACCCAAAAGATATGTCCATGGCGTTACTGAGAGAAACAATAACGAAAATTGCAGAGGATGAAACATGCGTTTTAGAGGTACCGGCTAAATGGATCCATCTCGAAAAGAATATGAAAGAAAGGATGCATATGAAGATACTTTCCATGAAATTCATCATGGCCATTGATAGTGAAAATGAATATCCTTTGGGCGATTTGGATCAGGTAAAGTTGTTCCTAAGGTACCACCACGTGAAAGGAACATTTGTATACTTCGACGAAGAACCAATATCTGAATACGTCGTGTTAGATCCACAGTATCTTGTAGATGCTTTCAAGTCTATAATAACTAGCGAGCGTTTTTGTTCTTTAGACAAAGAACTGCGACAAGTTTGGAAAAAACTGATGACTGAGGCAAGACTAGAAAAATGTCTTATAGAGCGGCAATGGGGACAACCGAACAACAAGGCAAAGTTATTTCTACAGTATAAAGATATACTTCTTGCGTTTCTTACAAAACACCATGTTATTTCGGAAGCCACAACATTTGACGAAACATCAAAAACATCATCTGGACTGGGGTGGTATATTGTTCCAAGTCTTCTTCGAGACCAGTCAAATGAATCAGAACTTCATGAGTTCCTTCAAGGTAAACAGCAAGCACTTGTCACAATTGTGATGTCATTTGAAAACCATCAGATAGTTGCCACAATATTTCACCGATATATTGCCGCTTTAATGGCAAAATGGTCCAATGTATGTACAAGTGGTAAACCCCTCCTGTTCTCTGACCTATGTGTTGTTCGTCTTGACGTTATGCATGCTGGAATTGCAAAACATCGTTTGAATGTGATCGAGTTGTCAATTGTCAGCCTATGTCCATCGCTGCAAGTGCAAAGCACACAGGCTGATCTTTTCAGACGATTTTCTGAAGCAGTTATATTCCATGAATTTGGAAAGCTCCGGGACAGTATTGAAGGTTTTCGGCCCTATACACTGGAATTCAGATGTAACCATGAGAGTCATTGCGGAAATGGTAGTAATAACACCGAGTCCATATCTAGTCTGGACGACTCAAAGATTATCCCATGTCCAGATTTAATGGCACATGACTTGAACGCTATTGATGCAAAAGCGGAATGGTTTGGAGGCTTTAGGGATGCAGACACTATCCCAAACCTTCGATTGAACGACAAGTTAATAAGCAAGATATCGCATTGTATAGGAGAAAATTGGCAAATACTTGGACATGAGCTTGACCTTACCCATGTACAGATTGAACATATTTGTGAAGATCATCCCAATAACACATTGATGAAAATCTATCACATGTTGAAGAAGTGGTGTCACAAAATGTCCAAGAAGGCGACTCTTGATGTTTTAGTTCAGGCCATGAGAAACTGCCCAACTCTGAGCGTTCAATGGGACGGAATAAGAAACATTATTGACGGCATTATATAAAGACTGAGGCCGGTTTTTGTCGTTTGTTGAACGTTGTGGGTTGTGTTAACAGGTTTTCTTGAAAGTAAATTGTAAATAAATAAACTTCCTCAAACTTAAATTTGATTTAAAGCAAATATAATCAGGATTCCAGTCAAAACATTTGTTTCTACATTGTGTACTATATCAAAAAGATCAAAGGCATGTTTTAGAATGCAAAAATTTTAATCTACATGGTATATTTTAAAGGGTATAAAGCTGTATCTAATGGACTATTTTTAAAACGTTAATCGACAGTAAAATTGTATTGTTCCTATAATATTACGTTAGATTCTCGAAAGAGTAGTGCCATAGATTTTCTCTGTTATTTAACTCACATAGATATTTTACTTCTATAGAATAAAATGTTGCGATATAAAACACCCGAAATTATGCTACTATTTTAAATAATGTTTTAAGCAATTTAGCAATGATTCCATGCATTCGCCATTCTCATTTTTATGGCAATTTAGTTGCATATTTCTTTCAAGCATTTTGGAAGTTTTTTTAGAATTCAAACAATAGTTTTATATAGTAAATATTTAGCTTGATACAATTTAAGAAACACAGATTTTTTTGCTTTAATTTGCCAATAATAGATCACTTTGTATTTGTTCATTTGAATTTAGATAACCTTTTGTCAAAGGAATAATTCGAAATTGATTAAGATTTGTTGACAACTTGTATGTTTATTGAAGGCATAACAATATTGAAAAAGTTTGTAAATTATTCTTTTTAATGTAAAACAGTGGTTTAGTAGAAAATTCAAGTTCTTTCGAGAACACTGACCAACGAAATTACCCCACATTGTTTGACTTCACCTAAATGTAAAGGGATATTATAGAAGGCGGTATTGGTCGGTTCGTTGAACGATTTCAGGACGACCGATGAATCAATTCTAGTAACATAAATCACCGCCTGGTAAGCTCAATTGGTAAAATGTTGGACTGAGAATCGGGAGACCTGGGTCCGATTCCCGGACGGTGCAGGTCACATACGTTGTGATCGATCATGAAACCCTTCCTACAGTCATTCGCATTGTGTCGCTGCTCTTGCATGTACATAAGTAAGATTTCCATGCGAAAATGAAGGCATCTAATACTAGTAACCTGCTTCATAGCATGCACAGGAAAGATGCAATGGCTTAACTTTCTGTGGCTAACCTCTATGATCCGGATGTTAAACTAAAGAAAAAAAAACAATATCACGTGTAAAAGATGCGCCGCTGACATGAAGTTTCGACATAAAATGCCTTTTCTAATTATATTTGTTTACAATTCCATTAGTTTTATCTCCCTATTACCTTTAAACATTTTAAGATGAAGAACACTAGTGGAAAGACAACTCTTAATCCGAAATCATACACTACATTGTGTAGTTTTATCCCCCTTGTTCCTCATGCATGATTTATTCTGCAATTGTATCTGAATAAAGTACGAGTTGTTCTCTTAAAGACGTAAGGAGATAGCTTGCTAGAATAAACAAAAAATTGTCCGAGGCGAAGCCGATGACTAATTGATTTTTGTCATAGCAAATTGTCTTCTTCACGTCATACAAGTAACTGTATCTTACTTACGACGTTTAAGTGCAAAGAATATTAAATTAATAAACACATTTAATCATAAATAGATCTAATTGAAATCAATTGTATGTTCACGTTGAAAATATAAAACTATAGAAAATATTTGCAAGACCTTTAAGTTTTGGATAGTGCATGTGTAGGTAAATTGTATTCGCACGGAATTTTCGTTCACTCATTTAAATGGGACATAATTCACTTTCATTCATGATATTCAATGTTAAAATGGCTGAAAAGGGAAAGTCATATTTACCCCAAATTTGATAAGATTCCTTATTCACATGTTGAGCTTAACGCAATGTTCAGCTGTTTATGGCCGTTGATTTTTTGTGGAGGAGAGGGGGGATGCAGCAAATGTCATGTTAATGTTGTTTTATATATAGAATGTCAGACGATATACGAAAAAGATAAAGTTTTGAATAACTGTTTCGTTTAAACATATTTATTTAAGCTCAATTGCGAACTTATATTAATCACTTTCGAGTCCGCTTCCTGGAACCAACCAGTACTGGTGTCATATGAAGAAACATGGTCGTGACCCGAGTAGGGCTCGAACCCATGATCTCTGGGTTGAGTGGCAGACACCTTAACCACTATGCGAATAACTGTTAGTTTCGTCAATGCTAAAATAAACAGTCACTTTGTCCTGGAAATGGCCATACAATTTATTTGATTCATTTCTCGATAAACTGAATTTACTCATGAGTTGCTTTATCAAGTTCGCTACGACTTTCCGTCGGTTTCTATATTGTCCTGTTTGAATCAGTTAAAATATCGCCTGCTAAGATTTAAGACTGACTAAAACTCTTGTTTAAGCTCGACTATTTGAAAAAAAGGGAGAGCTATTGTAGTTGTGAATTTTGATAGAACTATGGTCCTTTTTGAACTTAGAAATTTTTACATTATTCAGAACCTTATTATTCTATCAGGCACTGCGAATAGTCGAGCAGTTGTTGTTTATAGATAACATTCTCTTGCGAAGAACTTTACACTATGGTCACTGGTATACTGTAAATATGCTACAGTTTTTGAAAAAAAGGGAATACATGCGAAAATGTTAATCACCGATATGAGATATTTACATTTGGATTCGCACGAGGATTAAAGTTAAGCCTGAGACAAATTCAACGTTGAATGGCGCGAAAAAGTTTCTTCAGAGAATGTAAAATCTTGCTACTTTATCTAGACAAATACAGAAAGACGGGATAAGACTTATAGAATATCTTGCATGTCAATAGGAGTCCATTAACTGGCCCAAGCAGGACACCGTATATCTCAACTGTACTAAATCCTAGTGGAATATAAGTGCCTTCTTACAGACGTAAGAAGACACTTATTGAATAGCTCTGCTGGTGGTATTGTCGTATAATTATCACGGTTCAATTACAGCTATATTTAACTATATTCAATGACGTGACTGTACTATTTAATGCCATACTCCTATAAGCGAATGTTGGCACTATTTAGTCTATCCAAACTAAATGTTTTTAGAATATAAATTTGGATATTGTTTAGGGAGACATACATTGAGAAAGTATTCATATTAAATTTATGACATTATCTAAAAAGTGCCTGTCAGTATTCCAGGATTTCAAGATTGGAAGATATTTCTTTCTCAAGATTTTCATTTTTCGTACCTTTGAAAATACTAAGTCAACAAAATCTTTGGAAATTTAGAATTTTAGAAAGCTATAATTTCAGATCATTAAGGTGTGAGTTCAAAAGGAATGTGTTCATAGGTAGGATACAAACTTTTCATCTGACAGATGTTTAAAATAAACTAGGGTTTTAAGAATTTATAATAAACATGTTTATGATTAAAAGCAGTATTCACAATCGAAAATGAAATCTTACACACCAACATTCAACAGGAAGTTGCTTGAATTGAAGGCACACATAGTAAAGTTATAAACAAAAATAAAATCAAAACTTCAATTGATGTAAAAAAAAATCATCAATAAAGTTTTATAAAAAAGCATATTAATTCCAATTCTTAATCTCCGTTTTAAGGAAATTTTCTATTATTCGTTATATATTGAAATTCACTTGCCCATTATGCCACAGTTAATGACTTTTTATATACTGTACATATTAGATAATCGTGACTTTTATATTATTAGTTATAAAGATTGTTGACAGGTTATATGGCCGTATATAAACGGTTGTTTGTAAATATAACCCGAGCCGCTAGGCGAGGGTTATATTGCAAACAGCCGTTTATATACGGCCATATAACCTGTCAACAATCTTTATAACGAATTTATAATACAGCAAACATCAGTTTTTAGAGAAAAAAGTAAGATTTCTTCATGAATCGACAACAGCCGTGTATATAAAACTATATAAACGTCACGATTATCCAATGAAAAGCGACGTTACAAACGTGCAGTATTATAAAGTTTTATATACACGGCTGCTGTCAATTTATTAAGAAATCTCACTTTTTCCTCAACACAAAAGAAGATTCCTGGATTATAAAGTGCAAAACATTCCTTTCAATAAAAGTTTTCAAATATTTATTAATACGATTGTTATAGAAATGCATTATTTGGACTTTTTTTATAAAAAGTTGATTAAAAAAAATGTTGATAAAGTTGTGAGTGATTTAGAATAAACATTTATATCATTATAATAATATTTTATTCTACAACATTTTATTACCTGCTATATAAATATATGTTATATCGTATCATGTACAACAAATTTAATGTATAATTATTTTTGAGATGTATAAAAGGATCGTTTTCGAGTTATCTGCCCTTTAATTTGAAAATTTTGCTTATTTCTGTGACAGATAGTCCACAATTAAGGTAAGCAAGGACTTTTTCCCTTTTTATGAACCTGTTTCTATTTTGACCAAGAATGAAATACAAATAATAGTAAAAATAATTTTCATCAACTTCTGTTTTTTTATCTGTCCTTGAAATTACCTTAAATCAAATTCAAGGGCACGACGTCGGTGAACCAACATTATTTTCCATGACATGAGCTTGACAGATTGAACATATTTGTGAAGTTAATCCCAATAACACTTTGATGAAAATTTATCACAATGTTGAAGAAGTGGTGTCACAAAATGTCCAAGAAGGCCATGAGAAACTATCCAACGCCAGTAATCAATGGGACAGAAAAAGAAACATTTTTAACGGCATAATGTAATGATGTAAAACAGTGCTGGCCGTTTCAATAGTTGGCCAGTAAGTCAATACAATTATATTATTTCGGACGAATTAGACTCTTATATATTCAAACAAAATATCCATATTTTTGAATTTACAACACGGTAATTAATTACAATAAATGTAAACTGCGTGTAAATTGATTAATCAAACTTTTTGTTTTCTTGTTTTCAAATAAACCATGAGCGTAAAATATTATTAAACAAGCATGACTAATCCTAGCAAAATTCAGATGTTAATGTGTATATGAAACCATAGAAAGTACAAACTGCGAATGAATTATTTTTAATTCTAAAGGATATCTTGAACAAAATTTATTGATAATTATCGCTCTTTAATTTACGCATTGACATTTTGAAAGAATTGGACAAATTTGTACGATGCCAAGGAAAACGTTATTTAATGGGTTGCATGTGTTCAGGTATATAATGAAACTGCTCATTTGTTCTTTAAAAGATAAAAAAGTTCAATGTAATGATAAACGCTTAAATTACCAAAGATGATTATTCGAACAATGGAAGGTGGTGTATAGAATAACAAAAACACTATTTTAATCTATATTATCATATCATCAAAACAAACAAATTTCAAAAGAATTCTCTCATCTGGCGTTTCATGTTTGATTGTTTCTATCGCCCAATCCCAATCTGAAAATAGAAAAATAAGTCTATAAATATATCAAATGATGTTTTATTTTTCGTTGTTCTTATTCCAAATTAGACTGATTTATTTGACACATAATTTTGATGATTTTGCAAGGACTAACAATTTAAAACAACACTTTTTTAACCCTGTAATACTGATTCAAAAACCATTATGCATGATAAAAATAACAGAAAGTAATGGTATAAACTTTCATTTAAACAATATCATCTTATGAATGTGTTGCAAATACAAATTTCGGGCTGTTGTATTCGCTGTGACATAAATGAACTTCGTTCCCTGGGGAAGAGCAAAATACAAATAGATTTCCGACTTTAAACATGCTTTAAATTGGTCTAAGCTGACATAAGTGAACTCAAGCAGGTTCGTGTGACGTTCATTATTATTTCTGAAAAAATTGTACCGTTGCATTTGAAGGGAGGTGGCATTCACACAGTCTCTTTGAATATGAATGTAACATAGCCTAGCATAAACAATAATAATATTTACCTGATTAACCAATCCGTCTCTACACATGTTGCAAGCTGGACATACATCACAGATGTTAGCTCTCTTCAGAACGCCGGATTCATATTTTGTCATAGCATATTTTTCTGGAACATATAAAGAGACTCCTTTTAAATATAATTATTAACGGTGGTGGTGGTGGTGTGAGTAGTTTAACCTCTAGATCACGGCAATAAGCCGCATTGAGTTCAGCCACCGCATCGTTCCTGGGCGGCCTTTCAAGCAGTTTACCAGTATTAGTTGCATTTACTTCCGTAAGGAACTGATACCCCCCGCGTTTGGCGGGGCCAATTTTGACCCAAGGGCTTTTATTTGAACAAATTTGGTAGACACCCATTATAAGATTTTTCATGCTTAATATCTAAGTTCTAGATTTTTTTTAAAGAAGAATTTTTATTAAGTTTTTACTATATACATATAAGGAAAATTAACCCATTTGGCCCAAGGGCTTTTATTTAACAAACTTGGTACACACTCATTAGAAGATTTTTCTTTTCATGCTTAATATCTAAGCTTTTAGCTCTTTGGGTTTTTTAAAACAAGACAGTTTTATGTTTTTACTGTATACATATAAGGAAAATTAATAACCCCCTGGGGCAGGGCCAATTTTTACCCCAGGGCTTTTATTTGGACAAACTGGAAGACACCCATTAGAATATGTTTCATGCTAAATATCTTAGCTATATCTATTTGAGTTATTTAAGTTTTTACTTTATACATATAAAGTAAATCAATGAACCCCGGGTGGGCCAATTTTGACCCCAGGGCTTTTATTTGAACAAACTTGGTAGACACCCATTAGAAGATTTTCATGCTTAATAATAAGGTTCTAGTCCAGACTATATACATATATGGAAAATCAATTATGCCCGGGGCGGGGCCAATGTTGACCCTAGAGCTTTTATTTGAACAAATTTGGTAGACACTTACTAGCAGAAGTTTCATGCTTAATATCTTAGCTCTAGCTCCTTGGGTTTTTTAAAAGAAAACTTTTTAGCTTTTCCTATATACATATAAGGAAAATCAATGACCCCCCGGGGCGGGGCCAATTTTGACCCTAGAGCCTTTATTTTTTAACAAACTTGGTAGACGCTCACTAGAAGATGTTTCACGCCAAATATCTAAGCTCCAGCTCCTTGGCTTTTTTAAAGGTTTTATCAAACACAATATTCTAATATTATTCGATAAGTACCGACTTACATAAATTGAACTATAATTATTTAAACTTGGTAAGAGTCTCTCATTTGCCTCCGGAAGTAAGCAACCTAGAAAAGTAATAAAGAAAATCATTATGATATTTTTTGTTTACACAAAATCCTTTCATCTTAATTTACAAATTTTAAATAAATATAAATCCTTTAAATCACTTGCGTAATTTATGTTAAGAAGTTGAATTATTTTCTTACCATATTACCATTCTTAGAACATACTAGACCGAGTATAAAAACACGCTGCTGATAATGATTTATGGTGTTAGTTGAGGTCTGTTAGGCTACTGATCAGTTTCTTCTCTTTCTTTGAAACATTGTTCTCATAAACATTTTTCAATTATTTTAATGAATAAATTATCCTCATGCTGCCACATATAATAAAGTTTTTACTGTGAGTAATGTTTTACCACATTATATATGTATTAATATCACGTTTAACATTTAACAATGTGTCAGCTTTTGTATTTTGTAAGGTGTCATATGTAACCTTTACATATAGTATTCTTTGGTTTTAATAATGAGTGAATGTTGAAAGAAAAATCAATAAAATAGTTCATTTAAAATAAAAAATAAATAAAAAATAAATAGATTGATAAATAAATAGTTAATTTTGATAGTGATTACAATGCTG